AAACGTTAATCTTATGGGTGACTTTGTAAACTTTTTACACAGCTTAAGTGTACTTGTACTTCTTGTAAGTTCACATAATATCCCTTTCAGCTTCAATAGGACTATTTGTAATTTTAAATGCTCATTTCCCATGGATCATTTGAAAACTTTAAGTTGTGAATTTTTCATCAGTAATTAGCCTTTCCTATAGCCTTTCAGACAGATCATTGTGTGGTTTATCAAGCAAGAAGATGAACAGGCTCAGACTTTAAACATCTGAAATTGCTAGTTCAGGGTGCATTTTTCTCCGAATGCCTTTCCTTTGATCCCTTTTATTTAGACATAAATTAGATTATTTTTAGTGGTAGTGGCTCTCCCTGCGCAGAAGCAGAAACTGTTTTTTGGCTTGGCTGACTAATGCATATGACTTGACCCTTGATCTCTACCTACTATACGTCAAGTACACCTGTAAAGAGGTCTGCGTGCTATTTGCGAATCTGAGTGTTAACTGCCTTAGAGGAAGCCCTGAACTTAAATGAAAAGTGCTTCAAGCCTTGTCACTACCGGGCACCCTTCTCAGAACTCAGTGTGCCACCCTGGGGCAGGCCTGGAAGAAAGTGGAGCTGTGTGTGCAGCCTTGTGCAGTCTCTGCTTGTTTAACTTTTGCCGTCAGGAGCCAGGACACGGGGGAGGCTGGTGACTCTCAGGAGTGGAACCGAGATCGTCATGGCACCAAGTGATGACACCAGGGCTGTGGAAGAATCTGCAGGTGTGTAACTGCCCGTACGGGGCACAGCATCTAAATCTTACATTGAGAGAATGCAGATTATCTCTTGCCATGGTCTCTTTTTTTGCTTTGTTTTGTTTTTTTCCATCAGGTGTCAAAATTGCCGAGTGCCCTAAATTGCGGTCCGTAGGCATAATCCAGATGGTTCTCTTGTTTCCCACGGGCAGATGAGGGGGCTTGGGTGGGGGGTGTGTCTCATTGTCTGCAGTAGTGTTTTTCCCAACTAGCTTTGTGTAAACCAAGTTTTATAAGATTACCTCATTTTAATCTTAGTTATGCCTTTATTCTTTAAGGAGTCCCTTTGCGGTGTGGGCAGTTTTTGTAGCAGTAATACATATCCTCCTCCAAAATAACTTTTAAAATCTTGGTATAATAAAGTTTCTTAAATGGAGCCATCCACTTGGGATCCCTTAAAACAAGTTCAGCACTTGCTTTTGGCCTGAAGAGTGAATTCTTCTCTGGAGAGCTGGCTTCTGGAGCTGATGGGCTGCATTGGAATTCTCAGCTCTGTGACCTGATGATACTTACCTCTCTCTCCCTCGTTTCCTCTGTGGGGAATAGCGATCAGGATACTAGTGATAATTTCTTCATAGGGTTGTCATGGGGATTAAGTAAATAGTACATGTAAATGCCGGAATCACTGCCAGGTCTGCTATGGAAGGTGCTTAATAAATGTCTGTGTCAGTATATGAATGCTTTGGAATAGTCTTTTGTTCCCTGGAAAAGGAGTGGGTGGTGGTGGGAAAGACTTAGCCTGGTCAGAGGAGTTTTATTACTTTGCTCATGGGAAGCTATCAAGGAAGTAATTTAACCTGGGACGCATGATAAAAAACGAATTAGGAGACTATAATGCCAACATTTTAGCTCAAGGTGGCCATAACAGAACCTCTAAGTCTTAGGGGCTTTATAAAGTGCAAACTTGTATTTTCCTTACGTGTTGGGCAGACCAGTGTGGTCAGGTGGCAGCCCCCATGAGCAGTTCCCCTCAATGTGAGGATTCAGGGATCCAAGCACATGCCATCCTTGGCTTTGCCATATCGGAGTTCTTCACTACAGCTGTGCTGATGAGGGAGAGAGAAAGAGGAAGGCAGAGCAGGAGAGGGGAGAGAGGGAGAGAGAGAAGGAATGGGAGGGAGGGAGAGAGAGACAGAGAGAAAACGAATGAATGAATTAGACTGGATATGAGCAGAGGATCTTACAAAGGATGGTAAGGGCCAAGTATGGAAGTGGTAGCGCACCATTTCTGCTCCCATCCCATTGGCCAGAACTAGTCACATGGCCCCACCCTACCTGCTGGGGGTTCTGGGAAGTCAGTTCTCCCCTGGTGCCCTGTAATAAGAAGCAGGTCATCTGTGGCACAACAGTTAACTATGTAACATATTTTATGCTAGTGGTGGATATTGTCTGTTATTAATCTATTTGTATAGGCCATTGTAAACTGTTTCTGAAATTCTGTATAATGCCAGGACCAGTAAAAGACCCAAGGGAATTTGCAATCATTATGTTTCTTTCTTATGTGAGAAATTTGCAGAAGTCAGGAAATTTACTGAGACATCTGCTTTTAAACATTTGATTGCTGTGCAGTTGGCCAGTAAACGAGGACTTTCAGTGACAGTATCTTAATGGCCATCCCTGACAGGCAGGTTCCTGTTAATGAGACAGTTATGTGTTGTATCCTGCTGGTGGTCAGTAAATGACAAAAGGCTAAGAAGTTAGTGATCCTGTTGTGATTGAAATTACATGGGACAGTCTAAGAACAGAGATTTTTAAAAACTGCCCTTTAATAAATATGGCTCATTATTGCAACTGCAGTTTTTACTCAGCTCCGATGGGAGGATGAAGGCAGCTTTCTGTGTCTTATATCAGCCAATGAAGTGGCTTAGTCCTGCAGGTCTATTAATACTGTTTCACTTGAGCACTTCTTTTGAATCATAATTGGCCTCTGTGCAGATCAAACAGTTTATTCACACGAGCAAACCTGGGAGAGTTCATAGCTGTATCGACACACCTCGGGACCACGCTTAACTTAGTTTCCAGGTTAATTATATATGTCACATCTTGCAGTGTTTCATAGTTCTGTGGACTGATTTCTTCTGCCAAGGTTCAGTTGTTTAACACAATGGGAAGCAATAGAATGTAATAGTTGATTGTGTGGCCTCCGACATCAGACTGAGTTTGGATCCCAATTCTGCCACCCAGTCAGTCACTCTGTGACCATGGGCCCTCTCATTGTCTGCTGTGGTTGCCCAGGTGTTTCTGGTAACTAATACCCGTCTGGGTGGCTTAAACCATGGAAACCTATTTTCTCACAGTTGAAGTCTGAGATCAAAGCGTTGGCTGGGTTGGCTTCTTCTGAGGCCTCTGTCCTTGGAAATGACCATCATCCTGTCTTCACACGGTCTTTCCTCTGTGCATGCCTGTGTCCAAATTTCCTCCTCTTAGAGGACACTAGTCACGTTGGATTAGGGCCCTTCCTGATGGCCTCTCCAAATCCAGTCACGGTCTGAGGTACTGGCATTAGGACTTCAACATAGGAATTTGGGGGAGATACAGCTCAGCCATATCAGGCACTTAGCTCTGCCCGATCTGCAAAATGGGTTTATAAGAGTATTTTAAATGGCTGTTGTGAGTATTCAAAGATATGATATGCTTAGCATACAAATTGCTTAGTATGATAGTGAGTACTCATTAAGTAGAAATATTTTTACTATAATTATAAATCTTATTATGGGTAGCTGTGTCATCTCTCCCAATTGGGAGATGGTTATATGCAGCACAGCCTTTCAATCATTGAAGCCCGGGACGATTGTGTTCTTTCTTGTGCCCCCGTGGCATTGGAACGGGCTGCCTGCAAAAGAGCAACAGGGCAGAAGCCCAGACGTTGTGGCCAAATGGATGGGTAAGGCTTTTGTGCTAGGGATTCGGAGTGGCCTTCTCTGGCTGTCACCCTGGGCATGTCAGGCACCACGGACGGCGTGAACTGCTCTCAGATGTCTTGGTTCCTGTGATGGCCTGCGCGGCAGCGTCACCAGACCTAGATAAGCACCTGGAGAAGAGCAGTCTGTCTGTGTCCAGGCCAAGAGACTTCTATCACTGTCAGGGGAGCAGCTATAAAATTATACTGATTGAAAGAATTATCCAAGCACTGGAGATGCTTTTTAAAGAATGCGGCCTGTGAAAGAGGGTAGCATCCCTGCGTTGATAGCCTGTCAAACAGTGAGAGACTGACGCGAATTGGTAGAATTCTGCATGTTGATATTATGGCAAGTTATCTCAGGCCCAAATAAGTGCCTGTTATCTAAATCCCTGGCATTTTTCCAACTGACATAAATGTTTCTTCTTTTTAAAAAACACTGCTACTGTCACAACGGAGTCGCGGCTTGTGTTAACTGTCAGCAAGCGTGGTTCTCACTAGGGTCAGAGAAGGGAGGTCAGACCACATGGGCACTGATGGAGCTCCCTGTCCCATTGATCGGAGGAGCTTTGGATATGGTGGGGGATTCTCACGGTGCCTTGGTGGCGGTTGGGTTCTGCAGGCACACTATGCATCGTTCAAACTAGACGCATTCAGTACATCAGCTCCTAAACTTGAGTCAGTGGCACCGCTAGCCAGCTGCTCGGCCTTATCAATTTTTCCTTTGGAATGACCATGAATTATTTGTCTTTTAGTAAAAGTTAATAGATAATGACTATGAGGATTATAACATATAAATACATTCATAAACATGAATTTATATGAAGTGAATTTAACTGACCATCAAATAATAGGTATGGTGCTCTTATGATTGTAAAGTCTGAAATACATCCTTATTAGGAATTGGTGGAACGTGGCATTAAGTAATTGTTTTAGTGTTACCTAACTTTTCCCTTGTGAGTCTGTTTACCTTTCTATTATAGAAAACTCAGCAGTGACTAAAAAAAAATGTCTTTGTGTACATTTCCACTGCACCACAGACCTCCACCTTTTCATACTAAATCACCACATGGTACAACCTAAATCTCTACAATTTTTGCTAGTCATAACCTCAGTAGAGCTGGAAAAGCAATAAGGTTGCTGTTCCACCATAAAAAATACGGAGACTAACGTAGCAACATCTCTGACTGTTCCCGCCCCCCCAACCTCTGCTAGGTCCTTCTGTTACTGTGGTTTTTGTCTTTGGTTTCTTTCATATAAGTATTCTGAAAATTTGCCTTTTTGTTTTTCACATGGTTTAATTTCCTTTTTTTTTTTAAGGAAAGAGCAAGTTAGTACTTTGTATCAAAACATCAACCTTGTGGAGCCAAGACTGATTCAGCCGTATGAATATGTCATAAAGAACTTCATCCGTGAGATCAAGCTTCAAAGCACAGAAATGGAAAACCTGGCCATTGCGGTGAAGAGGTATTGAAGTCCTTCCTTTCTAAGTGGCACGTGGGGTCCTTGAACTTACTCTTTGACTGGGGGGTGTCACCTGGACTGAGCTGCATTATCACAATATGACATGGGAGGACTTCCTGATCCCCGGGAATCTGGAGCTTTCTGAACTGAGCCAGAATGAGGGAAGTGGAGTCAGGCAGTACTTCATAGGGTCAGTCAGCAGTCCATCAGCAGGTCTCCATGATCCTGTCACAGAAACTCATCCAGGCCACGATTCCGCACAGAGCACTTCAAAGAGATTTGGTATCTTCTATGGAGCCACTTGAAACATGTGGGAAACTTTCATCCAGAAAGGCAGGCAGGGGTCCATTTGAAGCCTGGCCTTGTGACTGACAGGCATATGACTTTGGGCAGGTTACTTAATTTCCCTGTCTCAGATTCTGCAGCTGCAAAATGAGGCTGTAAATATTCACCTGTTTGGGGGTGGAGACGTAGGCACCATCGTGGGTGATGCCCCTCACACTGGGGCTCCCACACGGTGGGTGGTCTGCGGTGCTGCTCTTCCTCTCTCTAGCTCTCCTCCCCCAGCCTGACTGAAAGCCTAGAAGCTGCTGCCCTTTCTGTCCTGCAGCCAGTTTGTGTAAGGCATCGCAAGCTTACACAGGATAGCTTGCTGGTTTTAATAGCAACCCAGTGCAAAAGAAGAATTACGGGCATTGCAATCCAAATATCAGCCTCTTTGCCTCCTAGGAGGACCACACTCCCTTGGCATATGCTGGGAAAGAGGGCATTTTGTGTGTCCCAGTTCTTCCCATAGAGGCCTCCACTGCTGTGTGTGCAGCTCAGGGCATGCTGCCCACCTCACTGGTCTTTGCCCAGAACTTGCAAACAGCCCCTCCGGTAGGATGCCCCCATTGCTGTGGGGCAGGCACAGGAGCCCGTGGGGCTTCTCTGTGTCTGTTCTTCCCTTCAACGTGGCGATGGAACTGTAGAGTAGACCCTTTGAAGTAACTGAAGTGAATTAAAATGTACAAGGGAAAAATTTTTAAATGCTACTTTTATAGTCCTGGAGTCATGCAAGAGTTGAACTGTTCATGGGGTTTTTTTATGATCATGTTCAGTTCCTGGCTCTGATCAAGTTTGCTGCCAGGGGCTTTCCACAGTCTGGTGTGCAGAGCTCCGAATTCTGGGGGGCACTGTGGAGTGCTGGTCAGAGCCCCAGATTGGACACCTTTGAGAGGCGACTGGCAGACACACATAGTGAGTTTTTAGAGTCTCCAGTGAATAGCTGTTAAAATAGACTCTCATACATACACACAGGTACACATACACAGACCCACACAAAGATATGGGGGACACACACCCTCACACAGGCGAGCACATTCACACACACACACACGTGCACCCATGATGGCTAAGGATAGTACCATGTAAACCCATTAGGGAGAAGAAGAATGGCATTCTTTCTGTTCTCACTGTCAGCCAGGCTGCTGTCTGGCTGTGGAGTTTGTCACTTTATGTTGAGCTCCATTGGTGCTTCTCTCCTGTCCCCTCTGTGCTCTCTGGGTGGGATCCAAAGGCAGGCTCTGTCCCGAGTTCTGGGCCTCGTAGAGGCCCCTCTCCTGGCTCTCAGGGTCCTCACTGAAGCATTTATATGACCACTGTGAACATTTCCTCACATTCCTAGCTCGGGACCTTTCACCATCTCCTCTATTTTGTGGTTGGTGGAAGTCCTCAGTCTTCCGCACTTGCACTTGAAGAGTGGGTTCCCAGTGTCCTGGTAGGGGCCCTGGACTATGATAAAGCAGACATTCTGAATACCTTATACATTTTACTAGAATTAGGAACTGCTGGGGCAAACACTGTTGTTATAGACTAACCAGACAAAAATATGAAAGTTGCTCAGAAGTGCCAAAAGCAGAAGGATCACATTCAGAAGCAGTCCCAGGCACTCAGCTGTTTGGGACTGGATGTCCAAAAGGAAGGGCTGGAAAATCTGGTTACAGCAAAGGGAGAAATGGGTAAGTGGTGTAGCTCCTCACAGTTTCAGAGTTCACTAAAAACAAGCAAATCCCCAAACCAAAGTTGCTATGGAAAATACATAATTCTTGAGGTTCAAATAGCAGGTGTTTATAAACAGACCAGAACTAGCTGACTTTCCACATGAGGTTAACATAACCTTGGGCAGGTTGTAAGCAGAGGAGGGAGTAAACAGGAGCAGAAAATAGTAGTTAGTCACTCAAAATTTTACTTTGGGTTATTCCCCCCCACCCGTCAATGCTTGTTTGGAATTTTAAGTAGAAATTAAACTAATGTACCAACAAATTGTGTCCCAAGTTGAAAGCAGGTAGAATGGGGTAGCAGAAGCCATCAAACTGGAAGACGGAAATCTTCTCCTGAGGTCTCACTTCCTACTTTTTATTAATGGCATGTCATTGACCCACAGGAACTGACTGTCTAAATCTCAGGCTGGCTGCTTTCGAGTCACTTATAATCTAGTCGAGTAGGCAAGACATACGGATGTGAAAATGTAGATAATTGGACATATAGCTGAGAGAGATCAGAAGACATATTTTTTTTAGGGCTTAATATGGAGCATCGACCATTGTAAAATGACAGATGTCTCCATACCAGGCAATTGCTAAGTAAAAGTGTCATGGAATGCTTCTCAACAAATTGTTCTCCTTTCTAACTTTTTTGCAAATTGGTATGTTCTGTCTTCAAAATATTCGATCTATTGATTATATTAAAAAAGAAACAATTTTTCTAAAGGGGAACCGAATTTACATTTATAATATTAGGGAATTGATGAGTAGTAGTTGTTGAGATCCCTCCTTTTTTTCCCTTCTAACTTTAGCATAGAACATTGTGTTTCATATAATAAAATTTCAAAATTATATCTAACCATCTCTTTGCCTTTGAATTTTGTTCTTTATTTCCCCACAGTTGTAGCTCAGTCCTAAGAGCAAAAAGGATTTTCAGAATTTATTGACAGCCTGCCAGTAATTTGGTATTTTTGTCAGTCCTTTGCCACATTCTAGTTTAATGCCACTTTATCCAATCTATTCCATTTATTCAATATCTAGTTTTAATATCCTCTTATACCCAAATGGTCAGATTGCTAATTTTATTTTATTATGTGAAAGGCACAATGATTATTATTTTAAATGTTATGTTTCTCCTCATTTATGAAATAAAGGGCTTGAACTAGATTAGGTCCAAGTTTTCGTGTTGCAGGTTCAAGGGTATAATGAAAAAGTGTGCGTCCTATTGACTTTCAGAGCCCAGGACAAGGCAGCCATGCAGCTGAGTGAGTTGGAGGAGGAGATGGACCAGAGGATTCAGGCTGTAGAACACAAGACTCGGAAGGACGTGAGTGTGTGGGGTTCATTCATTCGCTGAGTCCTTATGGAGCCCCTTTTATGGACTGGGCACCAGACGACCTCTGGGTGCAGCAAGTGCAGGCTCCAGATGATGGTGACAGTTTTGGGTGGCAGGTAGGGGAAAGAGAGAGGGGGAATAAATAAATAATTAAATAAACAAAAAGTGACAAGTGCAGTTGAGAAACAGTGTGTGTGATAGAGAGCAACGGGGGCAGGAGGCTGTTCAGGGAGGGTCCAGGGTCACTTCAAGGAGGTTGTGGGGGCAACTTTGCCCACAAAGTCCCCCTGTCTACCACGGACAAAAGTAAATACTACCAGACATGATCTGCTTGGGGAGGAAAGGTGGCCGATCCCTCAAAGGGGAAGGGCCAAGAGCCCCCTGCTCAAAAGACTTTTATTGGGTTCATTTGCCCAAGAATACAGGTAAGGATCAAACAATAGATAGCATTCAAAGAACCATGAGGGCTTATTCTCAGTCAGGGTCAGATAGCTAATGAGCCATAAAACTTTGAGGAACCAACTTCTTGCTTGGACCCTTATCATTTAAATGAGAGCATTCTAAACAAAGCAGGTTTCACAGGATTTTTACATATTCTTTCTTATGCCTGATTTACCTTGGATATCCATCCGCCCTTTCCAGCACAGGGCTGCACCGCCTTCCCCATCATAGGTTTTTAGGCTTAAGTGGATTAGAGCCAGGAAGCCCTTGTCCCAGATGGAAATGGGGACTCGGGCTATGTCACAATAGGGGGTGGGGATGTCGAGGGTCCATTGCCCCCTCTTTGTCACAGCCGCCCCCTCCCCAGTCCTTCCATGATGGCCTCCCAAGTGATCATGTCTGGCCTAGGTTGCCCCTCTCTGAGGGGTCGTACCCACCATGGACATCACCCATGCTTTGGGGACAGGGGAAGAAGCAGAAGCAGCGCTTGCTGCCAGAGACAAGCTTTGTCTCCTGTGGCCCGAATTCTGGAGGTCTCTCACTTAGCCCTGGGAGGCAGTTACAGTTCCTGAAGCCAGGCAGGGCGAAGTGAGAGCTGAGGCCTTCGGGAGAGCGGGGTGGCTGGGGTGCTGCAGGCCACTGACTCACTGCCCATGCGTACTGCCTGCTTTATAGCTTGACTACAGCAAAATGAAAGTTCTCTCTGCAAACTTCAGTGTTTTATAATGGAGTATAAATTATAATGGAAGATGTAAAAGTATACCTTATATACCTTTTATTCATTATAGGAATCCTTAGAGTTGAAAGTTGGAGGCTGCCTTCAGTTATTTCCATAGAAGAAAGAATTATCTTTTTTTAAGTAAAATATATCTGGGTGATTAATGTTCACTGGAAACAGAAAATAGGCATATTTCTTTGAGTAGCTAGTGTTAGGTTCCATTTTTTTGGAAAAACATTTTATTTTTTTTCCTATTCATTTGTCCTTTTAACTGAGAGGCATCTGTACACCTTAGTTTGCTTTCTGGCTCTGTCCTATGTTATCGATGGTGCTGGAAAAATAATCTTACCTCTGAGCCTTTGTTGTTCCATCTTTAGAATGGGCCTCAAGTCCAGAAGTGGCCGTACAGCTACAGTCATACCATTACTTCCACCCTCCCTGTGTAGGAAACTCGGGATCAGCCTTTGTTGGAAATAAAACACTGCCCCTTTATGGGGCCTTGATGAACCTATTTAGACCAATAAAACCTTTTTTTTTCTTTTAGGAAAAACGCAAAGCTGAGGAAGCCCTCAGTGACCTCAGACGTCAGTATGAAACAGAAGTAGGGGATCTACAGGTGACAATAAAGAAATTGAAAAAGGTAGGTGTGTGGCGGCTAGACTTTCAGGAATAGCTTCAGGATGCCAGCGTCTCTGTTATTAGTGACTAAGACAATTGGAATCACAGTGAAGCAGCGGATGGGATCAGATCTCAGTGGCAGGACTTTTTTTTTGAGGCCCTCCCCCCTGTTTCCTAAGGCACCTGTCACTTGCACAGATCTAATAAATACAGTTGTCCATCAAACCAGTGTTCTTTCCCTAGTCTTCACCAACCAAGTGCCCTCAGCACCCCCGTGTCCAATGGACCGTCTGCTCGTGACAGTGGGGGTACTGTGTTTCCCGATCACCTATACCTGTGTGTCTGCCCCAGCATCCTGCAAGGTACATGGTAGGGATTCAGTGGATATTTATTAAGTGAGGTGAATATTTCCCTTCTGTGTTCAAAGTCTCAGACCTAGGCAGAGGTGGGAGAGAACTTGTTGAAGTGTGAGCAGAGGTGTGAATGGGTTTTGGCCTTGGCTCTGTTTGGTCCTAATGAATAGGAACGTTTCACTCCATGACCTGCTGCTAGATGTTTAACAACTGGCTCTGGCTGAGGTAGAGATTTGTAGCATTTGCTAATTTCTGTGGTATAAATACCCGCACCATTACCGATTGCAAGCTACCAAGCTGGCATCACTGAACGCCCTGTTTGGGAAGATATGCTTAAACAGGCTCGTCTGGGGGCACAGACTGACTCCGGCTCATTACTGGGACCATTTCTTCCACGTGGATTGTCTCCATAACGCATGGAAACATCTTGGCTAACACGAAAAAGAATACTTAAAAATAATCATCCTGAAAGTGGCATTGTGAATTTGGGGACATCGCTTTGCTTCCCTGGTCGTTCTTGTGCTAACCGTTAATATTCCTTCCAGTGGTGTTAATATACAATGAGATGGGTGATGATTAACTGTATTCTGTGGGCTATTGTGATTTAAACACCTGGAATTACTAAGAATTCTCATAGTATTCTTGGAAAATTATTATCAATGTTAACTTTTTATCTAATTTCCAAAGGTCATTAGACTGTACATAGGATGCTTGTATTATAGAATTTGAATGGACCAGTCCCTTATTTAGGCCAGAGTCACAGATGATCCTGGTCATTGTCCTCACTTACTTCCATGCCTCCCCAAATCTTTAGGAGAATGTGTGCAAGAAGAGACGCAGAGATTTCTTGACCTGATACAGTGTATGATGAAGACCAAAGGGGCACCAGGCAGTGAGAGTCAGGAGCGATGAGCCCTGAGTCCTTACGGGGGCTGCCAGTTTCTGTCTGTGACACTCGCACAGCTGGCTTCATCTTTCTGACTTTCAGCTTCTCATCTGTAAAATGTGACTAATAATATAGTCCCCTGTCTAACCACAATAAGATATTGTATTGACTTTGCAGTTTACTGAGCACTTTTAAAAATAATTTTTGACATCTAAATCTCAAACTTTTTAAAAGAAGCATGTATAAATAGCCTACTTTGACAAATGAAGACACCAAGTTCCACAGAGTTTAAGTAACTTACAGTCACACAGCAGACAAGCAGTGGAGTCATCCTCACTGTACATTGGTGCTTCTTCACTTGTAGCAGACTTTCTTCTTGCTCGATAGGGTTGTTCTTCAAGAAGACAAGAGATGATTTATGTGAGAGCATGTTAAAGGCTGTAAAGAACTATAGAAAAGTTTACAATGTTGTTATAATTGCCATTACTTTCTGCCAATGATTCTGAAAACTCATTTTGCCAACAGCTTTTCTTGCCTGAAATTGGCACACATCTTAAGGTCCGTGGCTGTCGTTGGTTACTGTCAGCTACATGCAATTAGGCATAGTTGTGTGAAAACCTTCAGCAGCAGCCATCTGGCAAGATGAAGCAAGGCCAGTGTCAAAGTACTTAGACTTAATGAAATAAGGCATACATTTTGATCAATGTATAAGTATTCAATTAATGGACACCCACAAAGCCTCACATTTCCCACAGGATGTAATCTTTCTGTAGGGAAAGCATTTTTGTTGTCCATGTTATTGATGCTCCTGAGCCATTTGGGCCTGGAAATACTAGTGAGTCAGTCAGTAAGCAAAGCTCATGTACATATTGATATAATCTTGTGTGTGCATGTCTCTACCTTCACAACATACTTAAATTTTATTGATTTCAGTCATTTAATAAGAATTTCTTGAAATCACTGTGAAGAAAATGTAGGTAGAAGTAATACTAACTTTGTTCTTAAAAATCTTAGACTCTAGTAAGGACAGGTAGAACATTCACAAATAATTACAATACAGGGTAGAAAGTGTCAAGTGCAGGTAAAGGTCTAGGTGAATATGGAGGTCCAGACTCCTATGCAATGTAATTGGAAAAGAAGGACTGGGTTGCTGAATAGTTGGCGACTGGAAAGCCCAGTTTCCATAAAGGGCTTTCACATTGTTTCATAGAGAACTTACTGAACAATACAGAGCCTTTTTCAAATGTTTACATTACTTAAAGCAAAATTTTAAATGCTTATGCATTATGTGTACTTTAATGACTTAAAAAGTTATATGATGTTGAAAACTGAAGACATTTAGAATTCCCATTTCTGTATGCAAGGGTATTCCTAATTTTAACTCAGTAAATTCAAAGTCTGTAAACATGCAACTTTTATTTTCTCTTTCAGCTAGAAGAACAATCAAAACATGTAAGTCAAAAAGAAGATGTGGCCACATTAAAGAAACAAATTTATGATTTATCAATGGTAAGAATCACCTCTTCACTTACAGAAATACATTTCCTGTTAGACTACTGTTTTCTGAACATATTCATGCTATTATTTCAGTGTTCCAGGAATAGAAGTTTAAAGACAAATTAATGTTATAGTGAGAGAAAATCTTTGAAATACCTCAACCAAAGGTGTTATTTATGCAGGTTTTTCCCCTCAGTGATACCCTGCCTGTTGTGAACACTTACATTTATTTTTTATTTCCAGCAATAATGGCATAGCCTTAAACTTTCAATAGTTAACTTTGCATTCTTACAACATCCACTCTGATCTGCGTACCTGGTGCAGTAATGCCCTGCCCTTCCTGCAACTTTCCTCTTTCTGTTTCTTTTCTATCTTCTGCTGACCATATCTTTGGTCTTTCTATTGCCAATACTGATAACATTTATATCTGTTTTAATATCATTAAAAACTTTATTTTGTTTTTAGGTTAACTCTAAAAGTGAATAATGAGCATTTCTTTTATTCCCACTGCAGAGCCAAGAAGTGAGAGAGCATGAACTAGAATTGCATTCCCTTCTCTCTAGCCATGAGCCCTGTGCCACGGAAAAGGGGTTCCCAGCCTCACAGTCAAGAGAATCCCCTTCATGCACCACCAGCTCCACGTTTTGCCGCATCTTAGCTGGCCGTGTACTTAAATCATGACTTTCTTACAGAGTTGCTTGTTTCTCTCGGATTTCCTGGTAGAGGTTTTGGTTTCTTGTTGTTGAAAAACAAAACAAAACAAAGACTTTTCTATCTTCACAATATCACTGACTGCTTGTAACTTCCTCTTTCTTCTTCCTAATGCATAGAATTTATTTTTTTCTCCTTAAAAATGTTAATTTTGGAGTCCACAAAGTTTGAGTTCTTACTGGACTGATTGAGTCATCTTGGAATTTCTGGTCATTCTAGGTAGCTGGGGTAGGAGTCCTGTGCAGCTAGGCGAATAGATCTGCTTGCCTCTAGACCTCTGCCTGAAAAAAGGTCTTCCCAGGATCTCTGTGTGAAGCTGGCTGTCAGACTGGGGGAACCTCGATTCCCAGAATGTGTGGGACATGGATGCTTTATTCAGGTGCTTTAAGCATCTCTCTGGACATATTCAGAGAGATGCTTTAGCTTTCCTTGTGGGGATCAAACAGTTATTTTGTAAAAAGACAAGCCCTGTCTTCTGCCTTTGGAATCAATTCTGTCTATCTACTGTTCTTTCATAGGGGAAGAGCAGGCGTAGGCTTGAGGGGTGGAGCGAGTTAATACATAAATGTAATCTCGGGTTTCAGCTCCACTCTCACTGTCCAGGCTTCTGCCTGGCCAGCTGCTGCTTCTTGTTCTCCAGCAGAATATTCCACACCCGCTTCCGAACCTCCTTTTCCTCTACTCTCTCTCTCTTTCATCAGTGCATCTTTGTCCAGTTTCCATTTTTTTCAGAAATGTTGAAGTCACTTCACTGCAGATGGCCCTTCTTCCATTCTTCTAACTTTTACTGGTTTATTTCCTTTGGTATTTCATGTTAATGGGGTCTCAAAAGGGAAGGAAGGAAGACAAATTCATGTGCTTAGTTCACCATTTTGAGCTGGAAGCTGCCAATAAATTGTTTTTAGAAAAATTTCTTAGATAAATTTTTAAACATTTGAAAATTCTTTTTAAAAATCCCTAGAAAAGTCTAGCTCCTTTGGAACTTCCAAAAAAATTGGAAAATGTCTGACTACATTGGTTTATTCTTGGGTGCAAAACTTGAACATGTTTGGTGATAGGATTTATTGTAAAAAAGTAGCCAGTCTCCATGGTCATAGGTACTACTAATTATTAGGAGTTCCATAACTCTCAAGTAAAACAGATGTTTAAATGTTTGGCTTCAGTAAATTTGCCAAAAACGTGCCAAGTACTAATGACAAACTCTTGAGTGTTGGGGTTTGGCACCAAATGACAAGTATTTTTTAGAAAAAGAACAACTTCGAATGTTTAGATTATCGACACTTTAATATTTTATAGTAATTTCAAATAACCTTGAGTTGATAATGTTTTGAATACCAGGATACAAAGACTTGTGGCTGGTGAGATGGATGTGTGGGAAGGTTACACACTCTACACTGGATTCCTTTCTCCTGGGTGAACCGAATCTAATGACCTGCACTGTTCCTTTTCTCTAGGAAAATCAGAAGGTTAAGAAAGATCTTTTAGAAGCACAGACGAACATAGCCTTTCTTCAGAGTGAATTAGATGCATTGAAAAGTGATTATGCTGACCAGAGTCTGAATTCTGAAAGGTGTGAAACTTCACATTTGTTTTTTTAGTTTGAGTGGAATATTTATTTTGATAACCATCCTGGGGATGAACTTCAGCTACATGATAAAGGCTTATTTGTTAACTTTGCTCATATATTCCTTGCTTTCTAAAGATTTTACTCTCACTGTCAGCTTTCCTAGTAATTTGGGGGGTTTTAGGATTTTTTTTATACAAACAGATGAATTAGCTTAATTATTGACTGGGTAGGACAGTTCAGGGCTTAATAAATGTTTGAATTAACTGGGAGAAGAAGAATATATCTCACATGTCAAGAGTCAGTGCTAATTAAAGGGCTTTAAAGTTAGGAATATTGGCCCTTCAGCATAAGAAAAGTGAAAAGTAGGCATCTTAGGCAAGTAATTTTGTTTTGTTCTGCTTTAGTTTTGCAGTATGGTATTAAAACAGAAGGCCTAACACATACACAGAGGCAGGTGTTCATTACACACACAGGCACGTATTTATATATATGAAAATGCATAGGTGTGCAATTGTAAAAAATATATACGAGGTCTGTCCAAAAAAAATCCAACTATTGTTAACATGATGAGAATGGTTTGCATGACATCGATGTACCCTGGCAGCCAAGTAGAGTGGACTGGAATGCACATCCGTGAACAACGACGTATTCGTCAGTGGGGGCGGTAGACACCATTGAGTGAGCATGTGTGCTGTGTGGCTGTCACATTCAAAATGACTGAAAAAGTAGAGCAATGAATCTGCATCAAATTTTGTGTGAAGCTTGAACATTCCTCTGAGGAAACTACTCAGATGATTCAGAAGGACGTAGCTCTGGGCAAGTGCTGATTGGCAGCTTCATCATGACAATAAGCCTGCTCATGTGTCACGTCTCTTGCAGAGTGTTTTTGTGAAACATCAAATCACCCAGGTGACTCAGCCCCGCTACAGACCAGATTTAGTGAGGTGTGACTTCTGGCTTTTCCGAAAACTAAAATTACCTTTGAAAGGGAAGAGATGTCAGACCACTGATGAGATTCAGGAAAATGTGTTGGGGCAGCTGATGGTGATTTGGGAGAATTGTGTGAGGTCCCAAGGTACTGCATTGAAGGGGACTGAGGTGTCATTGTCCTGTGTACAGTGTTTCTTGTATCTTGTAACTTCTTCAGTGAATGTCTGTATTTTTAATATTATGTAGCTGGATACCTTCTGGACAGACCTTGTATATGCATACACATATTTGCATATAAATGCATCGATATGCATAAATGTATATACGCACATATATGTACACTTAGGAAAATATCTTGTTTTTTGTTTGTTTGCTGGCAAACTTTAATCAGAATCAAGGTCCTATAATGGAAGGCAGTGAAACATATATTATTTGCCATGGACTGGTCCTTGAGCTGAATGAGTTTTGTGTGTGGAGTGTACAAAAAAGAAAACTTGTGGTCTCTGCTCTTTGAGAACTTTAGATTTAGTTGAGGAAGATAAAAAGCTAAAGGATTACAGGGTTGACATATGAGCTGAACAGTGTCACGGGATGGGTTCATTGCCACGTGGTGGTAGCCAGCATGCTCTTTTAGTTGAGAAGAGGTGAAGAACTGTACTAGAGAGGAGACACTTGAGGGACTTGGGAGGGAGAATGGGCTTGTGTTGGTCAAGGGAGCAGAGGCAACATCAGCAAGTAACGCAGGTACCATCAGCCAGGCATTGTCCTTAGTACTTTACTAGTATTAACTCCTTCAGTCCACAGAATGTCCTACAAGATAGGGGCTTTCCCCATCCCCATTTAACAGAGGGGAGGAGAAAGTCCAGAGATATTCGTGGTGAGGCAATAACCAACTCAGTGTCAAGAACACAGGCACAGATGAGACTGTTCTGGGGAAGAGTAGCCATACCATAGGGCAGAAAAGAAGATATTTTGAATGGAAAGGTAAAGGTTAAAAAAATTAAAGTGTTTAAAAGCTAGCTTAATACTATAATGTAAGGGCCCAGGATTTTTCATGAAGGAACTTAACTTTCTGTAGACAATTGGGAAACTTTTAGCCTTATCAAGAGAGAGAATGGGCAGGTTATTGTGGACAAAATTTGATACCCTGAGAGTTTCGGAAGCTACTGAGGGGAGTCGTCTGCTTAGAAATGGGGCTGACATGAAATATGGGCTGGAGATGAGTGACTAATGTTCAGAGTGGACTTTCTGAGAATAAGGCCAGGGCTTCATAATAAAGCCACAGAGGAATCAGTGTGCAAAAGTTGACAGTGAATGGGGAAAGCCCGGTCCTGTGGACTCCTCCGAGGTTCAGGGCAAGGATCGGAGGGAGAGCAAGAGCAGGGACAAGGCAAAGAGAGGAGAAGGATTCAGGAGAAAGGAGAAAATAGCTGGGGTGGGGATTGTATAAGGCTTGGAATGAGCAAAGAAAGGTTTCAAGTGAGAGAGCGAATTGGGGAGGCGAAGCTTCGCTGAAGGCCAGTGGTTCATTGCAGTGAGGAACAGAGCCAGGTCAGTGGGGTGTGGATGGAAGGGTTGGTGGGCACCGAGTGGTCAGTGAGGCGGAGCAGCACCTTGCACGGGAAGCAGAGGGTGTGGGCGTGTTTGTGGAGTCCTCGGAGGAGAGGAGGCTGCAAACTGCACGGAGGAGCCCGGGGGGAGCCCAGAGGAGTACAGACTGGTGAAGGGCACACGTCTTTGTAAAGGTGACAGGAGAGTCTGAGCAGGCAGGTTGGGGTAAGGCAGGATGGAACACCTAATTTTCATTCAAACATAAAATATAATTTTACAGGGATCTGGAAATAATCCGAGAGTACACAGAAGATCGAAATAGTCTTGAGAGGCAAATTGAAATACTCCAGTAAGTTCTCATATAAAATGCTCGTTACATTTTACTTATTTTTTGTGAATAAAGTACGTGCCGCCCATAACACAAGATGCTGCATTCGGAAGACTGGGCTCCTGCATCCACGCCTGCATCTTCTAGCTGTGCTGCATTTAGCACAACCACTTGCTGTCTAATCCTAAAGAAACTGTTCCAATGCAGGCACTCGAGTATAGTTCTCTAAATGCCCTTGCAAGTCAGGTGATATGTCCAGTGTGTCTTTATTATACTTCTGTAAAGAACATGGCCCTGACCTCAGTGGCTTTCTCTGCAGCCCCACCGAGAGGCTGTCCGGCGTCTCGTGGTGGTGCATGTCACGGCACCAGGCGTACATGGCCGTTCCCTCCCAATTTATTGTGCTTGGTTAGAGGTATATTTTTCTTAGTTTTTTTAAAACCATAGTGGAAATATTATACCTGCTCTGTTAACTTCACAGCTGAGTCTCAATAATTCCCGCTTCCGAGGCCCTTCTGCACAGAACTTCCCCCTTTCTCTCCCGTCCTCTCTTTTCCACTCATACAGTATTTTCTGCTGTTTTCACCTCCCGCAAATGAAGTATATAAGATCTGGCTTGACAATTTTTCTCACCATCCATGAGTGGTTATTAAGTCTCACCTGTGGCAATTACAGAGCTGATGTATTACTGTAATCTCATTCATTCATACATTCATTCAGCAGACTTTCACTCACCACCTTTATGGGTCAGGTTTGCCCAGAGCTGAGAATAGGGTGGCAAAGTAGGAGGAAAAATGTCTCTTTCTTAGTGGGGCTAGTCTAGGGAAGAAGGCAGAAACTGATCAGTAATTGCAGAAATGTAAAGTCTTGAATGAGAGAGAGGTGGGTCAAAGGAGAGTGTCTCCCCAAGGGCATACATAGAGAACTTTGACCTAACCAGGAAGGTCCAGGAAGTGTTCCCAGTGGAGGCACCGAGTGAGCTGAGGTCTGAAGGATGAATAAGCCTTCAGCAGGGAAAGATTGGCCACCTCCATCGCAGAGGCTCTGTTATTACCCTCATTTCAGAAAAGAGGTTGCTGAGGCTCTGCCAGGTTAAATAACTGCTGTCGGTCATGTGGGAAAGGCACACCTGAGTTGGGATTTGAACCTATAGTCAACATCTGAGCCTTCAGCAGGTACATGGCATTGCCTGGTGACAGTACACCAGGCCAGGAGTGGGATTCGGGAGTAGCCAGAAAAAAGTGTGTTATAACACACCACGTCCACAGCCAGCCTGTGTGCAGAGGGATAGAGGGCGGCTTGTGATGGTGGCCTGCTCCAAGCACTTAGAGAGCGGGAGCCTACACGAAACCTGCTCAAGCAGCAGAGCTGCTTGAGGGAAGAGCAGTTCCACAGAACAGCTATTACCTTCCTAAAAATGCCCTGAGATCTTTAAAGAGAGGCGATACATCCATTAAGTTGTACATTTAGTAATGAATTATGATCTCAGTTTGGGAGGTGTGAAGGGAAGAGGGAGCAAGTTACAAGAGGTGGTAATTCCACATTCCGAACATCACAGCCTGAAAAGGAAGTGCTGCCCTTTGCTCCACTAACACTTCTCAGTATGGATTTCTCTCTCCTCTTCACTCTGTAGAACAGCCAACCGGAAACTGCACGACAGTAACGACGGCCTAAGGAGTGCCCTGGAAAGCACTTACAGCAAGTTCAACAGATCCTTGGTACGCTGTAGGATTTTCCAGCGCCTGTCGTTCTGTCTCGTGGTAGACTCTTTCGACGAAAATCTTTTATTTAATTAGGGAAGAACTTACATTCATGAGAAGCTATTCCATATAATAATAGGGGAAGCATTTGTCCCAAATTAAAAAAATATGCTACCCCTCTGAGGCAATACATGCCTGGAGGTTAACCAACTCTTTGTTACATGGTCTAGGAAACCAGAGAAAGGTGTATTAAAAGTGCGACCTGGGTCCCACAGAGTTTGTGTAGTAGGTAGTTAGGATGAGCGCAGATAGCAACGACATCAAAAAAAGCAGGCTGTCCTGGGAGGTGCAAATGAAATACTGCCCAGTTGAGAGGAGGGAGAGGGTGCCTCTGGCTGAGGAGTATGTCTGCACACACTGAGTGTTCTTCATGGCAGTGAGACAGTCAGAGTGGAGGCCTTGGATTTTAAAGCCCCCCACAAAAACCAGCTACACCCCATTTAGAATTTGGAGGACCTTCACCGGACTCTGTGCCAGGGAGCCTCATCTCCCACCGTGGGAGGTCAGCTTCACATTTGGGGTCCCGGTGGCATAGCTTTGGATAGGGAAGGGTCACTCCCTAAGCCAAGTTATGCTTTGAGAGGAAGCACATCACTAGGGGCTGGTGTTGCAAGGTCCTGGCAGATCTCAGGAACCGGGTGCCCCTTTATGGCTGACACGGTGGGGTTTAGACTGACGACATGGTGAGGAGAAAGTACCGAATGTGGTTGTTGCATGTTTTCCCCTTGATTTCTGTGCTCAGGTTTGCTCCTGAAGGACACCAAAGGTTTAATTACATTAGAAGTTAACTAGTGTGCTGCAGTTTAAATAGCATGTATAAATAAAACATTTAGATGGAGTAACAAACCATTACTTATGTATTACAGCGCATAAATAGTACGTCACCAGGGAATACGATCTCTAGGAGCAGTCCCAAATTTAATGGTCATTCTCCTCAGCCTTCAGGCTATGACAGGTATGTTACTTATGTTTCATTTGAATTCTTGATCAAAGTTGATGGGAAAGTAAATTTCCTTAGAGGTATGTGAAAATAATGAGATTATATTTTGGGCACTAATTTCTACTTGTACTCATACTTCACATTTTTGAAACGTGAAATAGGTAAAGATTAAACATGTTGCTGGAGGGCCAAAGTGATTTCCTTAAGATGTTATCATGACCTGCTATTATGTATGTTCTACTTTACCTCATCCCCGATTGAGTGTAGTTTCACAGAGGTAGAGTCAGTAAATGGAGTTTCAGGGAAACCAGTCGGTGTTACGATATATGTGGTATATGATGTTGAGACTCTTGGCAAATGTTTAGTAGCTCAGCATAATATTATGTCAGCCCTGTTCAAGGGAAAGAAAACATTCAAAACAAGTAGCAATAAAGCTAATGTTTACAAGCTACTGTATTAAGTCACAGAGGCTTACCAGAAGTGAAAATTCAGTTATATTTTTAATTAAATGTCATGAAATATTGGTGCTACTGTAACTTGAGATGTAGCAATAAAAACTGAAAGATGATATGTGTGACACATATATCCAGCGTTGCTACTTAAAAAGTTACTTTTGGAGCATGTCAAAGCTTGAAAGTAGATGTGAATGTATGAGCTACAGGTTTCCACTCTCCACTTCTGATGCAACTTGCTGATTTATGTTCATTCCCTTTTCATTCGAGATCCCTTGGACTAAAGAATAATGAATGAACTTAACATTCTGGTGATAACAAAAAAGGCAGGTCCCCTTTCAGGAAGGACTGTAACCAAGGCAGCTGGTGATCACTTTTAAGAAAACCCCACAGATCACATGTGTTTATTGTCCACTGACTTCTGAATAAAAAATTCTAACAATTTACTGGTTTTTAATAGGCTGGCTGCTCTTTTACTGAGAGATAGAGGTCACTTTTATGAATGTGGGTGTAATTCCATTTTTCTGGACTGGTATCTAAGGTCACTCTTTAAGCACATAGGAGGTAAGATACTTAACTGAAAATGCTTCCAGAAATTTTATCATGATTTATTTTTGAAAACAGTAGACACCATGAATAAGGCTCATACATACTGGACTGAGAGCCCCTAGACAGTAGATTCTCAGGGACAAAACCATCATACATCAGTGTCTCAGACTGACAGCGATGTATCACAGGAGTGCTCACGGCATCGGGAGTCACTGGGGGGCAGGTGGTCTGACTGGTGTTCCTTTTGGGGAGGTCATATCATTGATATGAGAAGCTAACATTCTGTTTTCTTTTGGATGCTATAAAAGCTTAAAAGTTATATAAAAGGCTTAACTATTATAAATTTAATTTTGTTACTTACTGGATTTCAATTTGCATGTTCATTTTAGTTTTGTGTTTTCCTAAGAACGCTGATAAAATATGGCTTGTGCTGTGTTTTTACATATTTAATTGTAATAAAAATATTCTTTGGTTGGATAAGAATAGTTTACTCTTAAAATAGTGATGTATGTAAGATGAGTTTGGAAAAGTCTGGTCTGTACCTATATTTTTAATTTAGAGTTTAGATGTTCATGTAAGTGATTTCTCAATTCAGGATTTTACTTCTCTTTCATTCCTTATCAAAGATACAAATAGGTTAACAAATAAAGTTATGACCAATAATGACATGAGCTGAAGTAGTTTGTACTATATTATAATGAGAATGTTTTTTTTAGGTTCCTTACAGGTTAACCTAAAATCAGTTTCAGGAGAGTTTCACAAGTGGTTAAATAGTAAAAGAATGTGTACACACACATGCATGCATGCACACATACCTGGCTAGCCAGACAGATAGAGATTTGGTATGAAGTTCTGGTCCCAGGAAAAAGACCTCATAATTGAGCTATGTATTTAGACAAAGTACAGTGGTTAAATCACCTTTGTAGTTAATTTCAAACGTGTGCTTAAAGGCACCAAAATATTTTGATATTGTAGATTTTTTTAATATGGCTTGTATTTCTTTATACTAAGATCACCTGTCTTTTCTAAGCATATCCATCTCTTCTTATGTGTCATGTCTGGAGACCCATGTACCTGGCCCAACTCCTGCTTCTGATGAGGTCACGTCTGCTCAATAGCTAGGATTGTGCCTGGTGTGCAGCGGGGACTAAATTAATTGTAGCCATTATTTTTACTCTAGTATAAACTTAGGTCCTTATGAAAATAAATAGGAAAGCAAAAGTAAATAGGGAAATGTGCAGTTCCTTCAGATTCTCCTGTTTGAGTTTCACAAAAGGAAGGATCAACAGAAGTCAGAAGTTCTAGCTTTTTTCTCCTTTAGGGATCTTTCCACACTAGTTGTCAACACTCAATGGCAGAAAACTCATCTCACCTGTGGAACCATTCCAAAACCACACATTTCTAACTGCCTGCCATTTTTTACCATTTTGTTAGAAATATGACTCCCCAGAAAAGTTTAACAGTTGGCCCTTATTTTGTCTTGGGCAACCTGAGAGAATATGTTCTTCACGTGTCAGCCCTTTGATTAATTGAAGAGAGAAACCATTAAGACTTAAGCTGATTACACTGAATGATTTCTCTGTCTGAGGTTTTGAGGCTCATGTCATCATGACTGCCTTTCCCATCCAAGTTTTCAGCATCTCTTTTAAATGGAGATGTTATCCAGAAATGGACACACTGTTCAGAATGTGGTCTGACCACATTTGAGTGAAAAGGTTCATATGTTCTATATTTTATTTTTCTTAGTGCAACTTTAGATTGCATTTAGATTCTAGAAATTTCTGTATCGGAAAATAAAGGTAGTTTTTTACAAATAGCTTCATTTAGTAAATGTTAGAGTGTCTTTATCTTAATTGATTATTGCAGAGAAGGAACTGATATGGCTTTGAACATTTTATTTCCCCTGATGCTTAATCACGGGTTACATTGTGGCTCTTGGCACAAGTGAAAATGTCAGTCTTCTGGAAGCCAGTCTGTCCCGCTCTTGCCCGTGTGGTCTTGTGCATGGCAAGCTCTCAGGTGAAGCAATCTTCTACTTTCTCCCAGGTCATCTCGCTCTTCCTACGTGGATGAGGACTGTGACTCGTTGGCCCTCTGTGATCCTATGCAGAGGATGAATTGTGAAGTTGACAGCCTGCCTGAGAGCTGCTTCGACAGCGGCTTGTCCACCCTGAGAGATTCCAATGACTATGACTCGGAGGTGGAGTACAAACACCAGAGGGCATTTCAGAGGTCACACGGCACCCAGGAGAGCTTCACGGGGGATGCTTCAGACACAGACGTAAGCCCCAGAAACCACTGCTCTCCTAGGCCTTATCTTTTTAGAGATCTGTCACCCGTTCACCATTGATCAGTCATGGGAATCCATTTTGCAAGGTTATAAATATGAAACATAGGCAGAAGGTTTTTTTCCTCCACCAAAATGAGAGATTCTCATAGATTGCCATTTGGGGCCACTTTATTTCATAACAGCATTGACTATAGATTCAACTGTATATTTTTCTTCTGTTTAATCTATGATGTAGATGTGTAATGACTTTGTTTTTTAACTGCTAATATTTTTAACAGGTTCCTGATATAAAGGATGAAGAGACGTATGGTTCAGAAGGTGTGGCTTCCGTCTTAGACTGGAAGCCCCAGGAGTCTGGTGGTGAAGACAGTCTTGCTGCTTTTTCCAGAAAGCCCATCTTGACACTCTCACCCCAGGTAGGTGATTTCCGAGACACTTTCATGTGTGAAGACAAATAGTTTTGTGTGTCATGTAACTTGTAGGAAGAGAACTGGCACTCCCTTTGTCACCCACTGTGGCTTCCCTGCAGACAGACACGGTGGAGGACAGCAGACCTTCCAGCTCACAGAAGGCTTACAAGATTGTGCTTGCTGGGGACGCCGCTGTGGGGAAGTCCAGTTTCCTCATGAGACTTTGCAAGAATGAATTTCGAGGAAATACAAGTGCCACCCTGGGTATGGTTCCCTTTTCAGATGTTAATGGGGAAACGATCTTCTTTAGCTGGGTTTTATTTTCTTTGGGGATTATATACACAGATACATAGATCTGTCTCTCTGTGCATACATATACAGACATGTGTGCATTTCCTTGTCTGTTGAATGGTCCTCTTCTGTTTTGTCTAAGACCCAACTTTAGGGAAAGAAGACTGACAAAGGACAGAGGTATCTACTTAGCCAGTGAGATAAACCATAGTAAGGTTAGAGCCTGAGAGGACATTCATTCCTGTGTCCTACTGTGAGCCAGGTGCTATTGTAGGCACTAAGGATACACATTGGACGGAGTTGACTACATCCCAATCTGCAAGGAATGTAGAACCCAAAGGAAGGAAATAGATGTAAAACAAATACAAAAAGTATGACATTTGGGAAGAGGTGCATTTTTATACAGGGCGACCAGGGAAAGTTTTTCTGATGAGATGTCACTTGATATTGGTAAAATGACATCATTGATGGGTAGGTTGTCACTGTGGTCAAAATCATAGCTAGATATACGAGATACGTCTGGAAAAAGTCCAGCCTTTGTTAATATAAAGAGAATGCTTTGCATGACATCAGTGTAACCTGGCAGTCAAGGAGAGTAGACTGGAATGCACATGCGTGAACAGTGATTTTACTAGTTAGTGGGGGTGGTAGATACCATTGAGTGAGCATGTATACTGCATAGTCATTGCATTAAAAATGACTGAGTGAGTAGAACAGTGAATCTACATCAAATTTTGCATTGAGCTTGAACATTCCTCCGTGGAAACTATTCGGATGATTCAGAAGGCTGTAGCTATGGGCCACTGGTGATCGGCAGATTTATCACAACAACACGCCTGCTCCTGCATCACGTCTTCTGCAGAGTTTTTTGGCAAAGCACCAAATCACCCAGGTGACTCAGCCCCGCTAACAGCCCAGATTTTGCATCCTGTGACTTCTTGCTGTTCCCAAAACTAAAATCACCTTCTAAAGGAAAGAGATTTCAGATCATTGATGAGATTCAGGAAAATATGATGGGGCAGCTGATGGCAACTGGGTGAACTGTGTGAGGTCCCAGGGTGTCTACTTTGAAGGGGACTGAGGTGCCACTGTCCTGTGTACAGTGTTTCTTTTTTCTCTTTTTTAAAAAATATATTTTATTGATTATGCCATTACAGTTGTTCTATTTCCCCTCCTCCATTCCCCTCCACCCTGCATACCCCTTCCCCACCATTCCCCCCCTTTAGTTTATGAGCACGTGTTTCAAGTTCCTTAGATTCTATATTTCCCCTACTATTGTTGCCCTCCCCCCTATCTATTTTCTATCTACAGTCTATGCTACTTATTTTCTGTACCTTCTCACCCCTTCTCTTTCTCCCAATCCCCTGGTGCTAACCCTTCATGTGATCTTCATTTCTATGGTTCACTCCTGATCTAGCTGTCTTCTTAATTTGCTTTTGTTTTAGGTGTGGTTGTTAATAACTGTGAGTTTGCTGTCCTTTCACTGTTTATGTTTTTTATCTTCTTTTTCTTAGATAAGTCCCTTTAACATTTCATATAGTAAGGGCTTGGTGATGATGAACTCCTTGAATTTGATCTTATCTGAGAAGCACTTTATCTGTCCTTCCATTCTAAATGAAAGTTTTGCTGGATAGAGCAATCTTGATTGTAGGTCTTCGGATTTAATGACCTGGAATACTTCTTTTCAGCCCCTTCTTGCCTGTAAGGTCTCTTTGGAGAAATCCACTGACAGTCTGATGGGGACTCCTTTGTAGGTGACTGTCCCCTTAGCTCTTGCTGCTTCTAGGATTCTCTCCTTCATTTTAATCTTGGCTAATGTAATGATGATGTGCCTGGGTGTGTTCCTTCTTCAGTCCAACTTCTTTGGGACTCTCTGCACCTCCTGGATTTCCTGGAAGTCCATTGCCTCTGCCAGATTGGGGAAGTTCTCCTTTATTATTTGTTCCAATAAGATTTCCACTTGCTCTTTCTCTTCCCCTTCTGGTACCCCTATAATTCGGATGTTGGAGCATTTAAAGATGTCCTGGAGGTTCCTAAGCCTCTCCTCATTTTTTAAAATTCTTGTTTCTTCATATTTTTCTGTTTGGTCATTTTTTTCTTCCTTCTGGTCCACTCCCTTGATTTGATTCCCAGTTTCTTTTCCATCAGTATTGCTTTCCTGTGCATTTCCCTTCATTTCAATTAGTTTAGCCTTCATATGTTCCTCTAATTTGTGACTAAAATCAACCAATTCTGTGAGCATCCTGATCACCAGTGTTTTGAACTGTGCCTCTGATAGGCTGGCAATTTCTTGTTCGCTTAGATTTATCGGCTCTGGGGCTCTGACTTGTTCTTGAGCCATGTTTTGATCTGTTCATGCCTGTTACATATGAGGAGAGGAGCCTTAGTTGTTCACCAGGGTAGGGCCACCCAGGTCACTGGTTTGTGATGCTGTATGTGGGGGTGGGGTCAGAGAGGGAGCAATAGTGGTCCCCTCTGCTCCTTCCCGCTGCTGGGGCCTGCTTAGTCTGTCTCACTGCTCGATCCTTTACTGGTTTATCTGTGCACAAATGTGTGACTGTGGTCAGCCTGCCACCTTGCACCTTCACTGGGTCCGCCCATTGCTACCCCACACCTGGGATCCCCCCTTGGCTGCCTGCAGGCCTGGGTCAAGGTATCTTTTTTGCCCAACCCACTCTGCTGCTGGCTCTGCCCCTCTTACTGGTCAGGCTGAGTGTTTCATTGTTGTCAGACTCCTGTATTGTTCAATTTTCTGTGGTTTGGCTGCATTTTTTGTTGCTAAAACTTTGTTGTTTTTAAACTTGGTTGTGCGGGAAGGCACAATATTTCCACCTATGCCTCCATCTTGGTGGAAGTCCCAGTGTTTCTTGTATCTTGTACCTTCTTCAATAAATGTCTCTATTTTTCATAGTCCGTGGCTGGATACATTCTGGACAGACCTTGTATGCTCCTTTCCTTCTTTACAGTAGAATATCAGTACTACAGTTCAGGGCAAGGAGATAAGTAGTGTCTTGATTTCCCCAATTTGCATAATAATCAGTAAAAACAGTTGAGGATATACAAGTTATTAATAATTATTTTTCTTTATCTAAATTGTTCTTATTTAGATAACCAGAAATGTTTTTAAAAAGATTGATTACACTCTTCTCTATGGGCATCTTTGTAAATTTATGGTTCTCTGTTAGACTGTTCAAGATAACAAAGCTGAAAGTCCACTTCAATTTGATTCATAAAAAGGTTATAGTATCTGCTTCAGTTGCTAGAGAGCATGGCACATACATACATCATGTACATATATACACATGTATACATATATACGTGTATGTATAAACAGGGACATATATACATATGTACATGTGCACACAGACAGATGTAACTGAGTTCATCTAGTTATGTAGGTGAATAGAACATAGACTTCCCCTTTGTCCATAGACTAAAACCTTTCCCAGTTCAGCCAACCTGCAGATGGTACATCTGCATGCACTTGTGCGTTCTGGCTTATAATTAGTGTGTGTAGGTCACTCTCCATGAAGGCCATGTTCATTTTTCTCTACCACACTGGGCTCTGGCGTACTGGCTTGAAAGTGAAAACCAGTGGAATTATTTGCACCACGTTCTCCATGTTCTCCTGTATTTCTTTTCAGGGGTCGACTTTCAGATGAAAACTCTCATTGTTGATGGAGAGCGGACGGTTCTGCAGCTCTGGGACACGGCCGGTCAGGAGAGGCAAGTGCTGTCCATAAAGCTTCAGGCTCTGCTTCAGTTTGCACAGACAAGCTTCGTAGCACACTTGATGTGTTTTATGCTTATAAGTATATAATTATAATATGCCATATAGTTACATGGTACATTAGAATTTCAGGAATGCTTGCTTTCTTCCATTTCCTACCTCCTTCACTTATCTGTCAGTTGTGTGAGGAAGGGATCTTAAACTTCCACTAAGTTCATGTTCATGTGAGAGAAAGAGCGGGCCCTCTCCTAACAAGAATTCAGAGACCACACCTCTGAATCCAGTGACAGTGTGAGGAGCCACTAATTGGGGCCCAATAAAAAACGGAGAACAGAACCTGTCAGCTACTCTTGGTTCAAACGCAGAGGCACAACCTTTAAGTAGCAGACTCCCATTTGGTGACAGTACTTAGTCTCACATTTATTGCTAATGATCAGAAGCACTGAGCGTAAGTTTTAGGTCTAACTGTTTGGGAGCAGAATGTATTTAATTCTTTAAGTATGTGTGGGGTACCTACCTGCCTCTGCACCAGGCACCATTGAGGCTGCTAAGATTCGTCAGTGAATCTTTTCAATAGGACACAGCTACCCGCCCACATGGAGCTCATATTCTCTGGCAAACCGAGGGTTTCAACATTTAAAACACACTCGTGGCTGATGAAAGATAGTAGAAAAGATTGCACTCGATTTAGATTAAGACATATGTCTTACAGTGTGCTCTTCCCCAGTGGATCCCCAGCCCCTGGATGTGAAGCTTTGGGCACATCATTACGTTCCACATTGTTAGTCCTTCTCACACCCAGATTGTTTTTCTCTGATGTGCATCCCCTTCCACCCTTCTCTGTGTCCCACTTAAGGGTTTTGGTAGGTTTTTGCCAAGGCTGGAATTTTCAGAAATTACACTGTCAGTCTTGCCCTGGTTATGTTTTGGTGTTTGTAGACATTCTTGGGGTGATTTTGTGGAGAAAATGATTGGCTTTTAAAAATTGGTGGCCCAGATTCCCATCCCATTACATTTCACTGGGTCGTTCTAGGCCTCAGAGATGGCTGTTTCACAGTGACATGCGGCCAACAGATTTTCCTCAGTAGGGGCTTATTTGAGAAGATGAGAGAAAAGTGAGCATAAAAGAGGTGAATGAAACAGCATCAAATGGACTGAGTAGAAATATAAGTTAAGTTCATTTCTCTTTTCTAGATTCAGAAGTATTGCCAAGTCCTACTTCAGAAGAGCAGATGGTGTTTTGCTGCTGTATGATGTCACATGTGAGAAAAGCTTCCTTAATGTACGAGAATGGGTAGATATGATAGAGGTAAGAAATCAAAACAGAGAAACAGAACATTACTTGGGGAAGCTCTAGGCCATCTTGAAAATGCAGGTTCTCTTCTTCATCGAAGGGAATGTGATGAGAACCCACTGATGTCCGATGTCACAAAGAGGTGGACATTAGACGAAGAGTTCTCAGTGGCACTTAGCAGTTCCTGTCCTTCTCAGTAGCTGGGCAAGTTCCCACATGGTCAAGGACAAGACTAAAGGGAGTTCGTGGGAGTAAAATTTCTGGGTTTTCTTACAGATAAAATCAGAACCCTACTGGAAGCAGGTGGAAATGCAGGGAACTGGAGAAGCAGCGTACTCACAAAGGAGGCTGGGGTGGGGTGGATCGCTTGGCTGCATGTGAACAGGGGCTTCCTTGTCAACAGGGGCTTTCCTACCAGGAGGTGCAGGTAAAAAGACCCCTGGTGTGAGGCCCAGACTCCATAGCAAGTGTGTGCTCAACATTGTTCTGGGAGTGACTTGGCTCTTTCTAAATCCCAAGGCACCACTGGAAAACTAATTGGTGTTTTTAATGTCTGTGACAACTGTCTGTGCTTTCTTTTGATCAAATGAGATGGTATCTTTCATCTGATGAGCTTTGATGACCTTTGGTTTCATCATAAATAATGTTCAAAAGTGGGAAATGATTTGACCACAGTTAGGGTGCTGCCAGCACTTATTAATCAACGTAAAACTATAGTTCAAGCTGTGGTTCAGTATACTCTCTCAAGGAAAAAAAACCCTGAAACACTAGACTAATACAACTTTTCAAGTCTATTGTCTATAATTTTTAACAGGCATTAAGTACAGGGGTAGCTAAATAGAGAACTTTTTACTACCTAACTGAAGATGTCATGTGAGAATTGACATTGTAATTGGCAATAAAACTTAGAGATAAATAAATGTGCATTTTGTCCTCCTGAAATGTCGTAACTTAAGTGGATACTTTTTCAAAAATTTTCCATGTTATATTCACCTCTGCGACATATCTGAGAAAGGAAGAAACATAGCATCATTCCCATTTATGATGGAACCCCAGGAAGTACACTGGTGTATAGTTATTCAGAGTTTAGGGTTGGAGCAGGGGCCAGAACTGGACCTCCTGGTTCAGTATGGTTACTCCCTTGATAAAGTGTCAGAGTGAGCAACAGATTATGAGAAGATGCTTTTGAGGCCAGGAAAGGAATTCTGAGGCACGGTCCTCACATGGAAGAGTGGCCTCTGCTGCCTTCAGTCATGTCCTTGACCTTGTGGGAACTTGCCCAGCTACTGAGAAGGACCAGAACTTGCTCCCTGGGACAGAGCAGTGAGCCCAGAGTAATGGATAGTCCCAGCTAACTGGTCCACATAGGTAGTTGAGAGTACAGCAAAACTTCATTGTTGAAACTGTTGGAAGTAGTTTTCATTGTAAGTCTTTGGATTATGCTCAAGAAAAAGAAGCCTACAAGGCATGGCCACCGCAGGGTTGGGAGGGTGGTCAGTGGCCAGCTGTAGTGTGTGCCGGGGCCCACGACCGTAGTTCGCTGAGCGGCCTGCACAGGCTGAGACCTTTTCAGTTTGGTAGCACCTTTCGCAGGGTCTGAGGAGTAAGACAACTGCATTCAAGATGAATTATTCGACTTGGTATAGAGAAAAAACCAGAGAGCACTTGGCATTTAACTCTCATATCAGACTGGAGAGCATTATGCTAAGTGAAATAAGCCAGGCAGTGCAAGACAAATACCATACGATCTCACCTTTAATGGGAACCTAATCAACAAAATGAACAAGTAGGCAAAATATAACCAAAGACACTGAAATTGAGAACAGGCTGACAGTGACCAGAGGGGAGAGGAAAGGGGATTATAAGGGAAAAGGGCGAAGGGTTTGCAGGAACAATTATCAAGGACACATGGACAATAACGGGGGGGTGGGAATGGGAGGGTGGTGGGGAGGGGTTGGGGGAAAAGGCAGAAAACTGTACTTGAACAACAATAAGAAATGTTAAAAAAATAAAATAAAGACAAAAATAGTGGGAAAAAAGTGGTGAAAGTAATGGGTGCGATGAACCTTTGCCGTGGCTCACCCTTCCCAAGGTGAGGAAGTTCAGTAGGGACAAGGGACAGTTTACATGGCCGCTGTGAGTACCGATAGAAACTAATTGTCATCAGGATAGGCCAGAGGACTGAGGGGAAGTAGAGTGTCAGTGGCGAATGGACCCTCTGAGTGAATACACTTTGATCAAAAACCACTAAGTTACAAAATCTTGTCATAAAATCATGGGTAAAATAAAATGATGGCCTTTTACTTCTCTGTCATGAGTAGTTTATTTAATGAATATTTGGGCAAAAATTGAAGGGAGATGCTGGAGACATGAGCTCTCATCCTGACTTTTATACGTTCAGAAGCAGTGGGTGCCTCCCCTGGGCAGGTGCCATTCAGGTGCTTGGGATGTACCTGTTAGTAAAGCAAGGAGCCCCATTCTTGAGCTTGTACTTCAGTGAGGGAGATAGAACAAGAAGCAAAATAGATAAATGAAATAAACAGAATGGTGGAGTGTGAGAAACATTACAGGAATAAAAAGAAGGCGGGAGGGAGGCCTCAGGGTGAGGCAGTGGGCTGCAGCTGTCATCGGTGTGGTCGGGTGGCCTCGTGAGAAGGTGGTATTTGAGTCAGAACTTGATGGAGGTGTTTACCTGTGTGACTTTGGGAAGTCATTTTGATGTCGGGATTTTTGGCTTACTTAAGTGCATATTTGGTTAATGGCTTCCCAGTGAGGTCCCTTGGATCCTCAGCTGAATGCCAAAGAACACGATTAATGAACTCATTAAGGGTGCGTGGGCTAGGCTTGGAGAGGGCCTTCTCCTCCCTCTCCGCTCTGCTCTGAGCACACTCTGGTGCCTTCAGTTAGAGCGGACTGGTCTGAAGAGAGGGAAGTCAAACATGAGTTCATGATTTCTAAGGCATATTTCCTGCTCCTGTCTCGGGTATGGCACCGAACCGAGCGAGCCCCTGGGAGTCTTTGGACACCACAGGGAGTAATTGCCACATGCCTTAGCCAGGGCCGCTGTTTCTCTCATTTAGGACCCAGAGACCCATTTTTTTTTCTGGCTAGGCAGGTTATATTCTCTTACTCTCATCATAGCCCGCTGAGGTGGGATGAGCCTTTTACCAAGAGCTAAATTTTACACACAGGGATATGCAGGCAAAAACAGGAAAAGGCTTGCCTGATTTCACAGAGCCAGTGAGCGGCCAGAGGTGGTAGAGGTGCGGTCTCAAACTCAGGTCTGCCTCTCACATCTTTCATTTCCACCCAGCTCCGCTGAGAGTGTGGGACAGTGTGCTGGTTTGCATTTGCTGATTTGGAAGCATTATCCTGAGAAGCTATGACTTTGAATAGAGTGATAATTGACGCCTCATAAGGAGAGTGTTGACTTTCAGGGCCTTCTTGCTTTGCTCTGTAAACCAGAGAGCAGCAGGAGGTCCCATTATAGCTGAGGGACTTGCGTGTTTTGGATCTGGGATAATGAAGTTGACCTGTAATCACTATTGTTCAGAGTGAAAGTTGTAGAAAATGATGTGGCCACTGCAGTTAGAAGTAATTCTGAGGTCATGCTTCTCAAATTCCTATTGGTTTGTATGTACAGTGGGAAGGGGAATGCAGTCAGTTTAGACCCTGGCCCTTACCAGTTCCTATTTGGAATCTTTGAATTTCAGTGTTCTCACCTGGCAGTGGGGAACCATTTGGCTCTCTTTAGAGATTTTGAGGTTTAAGGGTCTTATCCATACGTCAGATGGCACACAGGGGCATTTGGACATGATAGCCGCTGTCATTGTAGTGGTAACTTGTGCGGTGTTTGATGTGTGTACATTTTGTTTTCCTTGTAATAGGATGCAACCACCGAGAATATCCCAATCATGTTGGTGGGAAACAAAGCTGATCTTCGTGACACTGCAGCCGCAGAGGGACAGAAGTGCGTCCCGGGATACTTTGGAGAAAAACTGGCCATGGTAAGAGTGAGAGTGGGTCCAGACTGGGAGACATATTTCGCCTTTGTCTGCCTCCACTTAGGAGGTTCTTTTATGGACCTGCTCTCTGCTTAATGGGGATTATTCTGTCCTGGCACAGGCAGAACTCCCAGCATCTCCCACTTGCTGAATGTAAGTAATTGCACCAAGGGTTAAATCTAAATCCCTCATCGAGGTAAATTGGTCACTGGATCCTTTCCTCCCGTTGACTATTGTTGACAGAGAGGAGCCAGAATTATCATACCTTCCTCCTCACTCTCCCCTGGTTCCTGGAACCCTTCTCCGGCCCTGGAATCCAGGTAAAGGAGAAGAATGGGTGTCCTATTTTTGAAAAGAGGGGTTTGAGTCCAGGGGGTTATGGTGCCCAGGGGCAGGAGATGGTGCAATGTGTTGCCTGGTTGAAAGGCAATGGGGAAACTTCTTTTTTCCTGTAAGGTGTGTGTTTAGTCGGAACAGATAGTCTGTACTTATTTTTGGATCTGTGTAGAGGATATAGCTCACTCCTGTCCAAATGATGCCTGTGGGCCACATTCGTCCTCCCGTTGTCATCACCGTGCCAGAGTGCCACGTGGCCCTCCTCTGGCTCGTCCTGCCCTACACGGAATCAGATGCACCTTGGGTCAGATGACAGGTTCTTAACGGACGGAATAGTCTGAGGTGACATTGCTTTCAGTGTTCTCTTTCATCAGCACCATGAAAGAACTTCTCTGCAGCATGTCCATGTGCCCTTTAAAAGTTTGAATTTCACTCTTCTGATTTGGGGGATTTTTCTTGTTTTAAATTTGAGAACTGTGAACCTAATGTGGTAAACATTAAAATGAGGTGGTGACACAGGAGAGATTCGTTCAGCACATGTTTAATTGTCTCCACCACGTGACAAGCACTTCGTTATGTGCTGAGCAAAGACTGGATAGAGTACGAAACACTCAGTCCTTGCCTTCCTGAGTTTCCTGCCTGGAGGAGACAGACATTCCATGCGTGCGATCTCATGTCCGACTCGGTCCCACATGCCGCTTCGGAGACCTCACACTGGCCATGTGCGTGCCACTGTGAAGGGAAGGGTTTCTTCCCTCCCCACAGTGTCTCAGACTCCAAGGTCTGCTTGCTTCCGCCTCTCATCACTTACACCCTCCTGCATCCTCGGAGGCATCTCGGTTTCACCCCCTAACGTCACGGCTGCAGAACTCCCCAGGAGCACTGCCTATTTCCACTAGAAACCCCTTCATGTTGTGAGTTTGTATAGATGTGTCCGTGGACTCAGGGGCTCGTGGGAAAAGGTCCCACAGTGGAGTTTTCCCCGCTATTCGGTTCCTCTCTCTCCCTGCCTCAGAGCAGCCATCACATCCTGCCCTTATCCCCCCCCCCAGGACTGTGAGACCCCTATGCAGGCCACAGCACACGCCCTTCTTTTTACCTAAGGGAAATTATCTGCACCTTGGTAGACTAAGATGCACTATAACTTCATCAGTTACAACTGCGGCAAGGGCTGTGCAGGAAGACAGTCAGCTCTGAGGTTTTATAATAGGGAGACCTAATAGGAACTTCTCAGGGTTTAAAGACAATCTTCAAGGGAGGATTACTTATGATCCTAAAGGTAGGTAGGGGTCGGTCTGGAGAAGAGGGTCGATAACCTAGCTAATGGGAGAACCCAAGGTGCAAAGATCCTGAGGTGAGAGGGATTTTGGGGCATTGGAGAAGGAGAGGGAGCGTTGTGAGTGAGATCGTGGTGGCAGGTAAAGCCGGGAGGTTGGCTGGGGTCACATAGAGGCTGCTAGGTCTTGTAAGGCATTGTAAAGCATTTGAACGTTATGTGAAGTGGAACGGGAAGCATTGAAAGGTTTGAAGGAGGAGAGTGATATGATCGGTGGTCACACACATAACCACTGGGAGGCGGACTGATAGAGGACTAGAAAATGTCCATTGGTTTTAGCAACATGCAGGCTGCTGAATCGTGATAGGAAATGATCGCCTGCTGGCCAAAGGGAGATGCACTTTTGATGGACTTCAAATTCCTGAGTGGTTATCTTAAGCTATTATTTCTATTTCTCTCAAATGATTTTATAGCAAATGTTGTGTAGCATGTGCGTGACTATAGAAAATAAGCACCTTAAAGCTTGAAATTTTGTATTGTGGGTTTTTAAAAAAATGCAAACTATAAACTACCCCAACTAGGAACAGTTTCTGGAATAAAGAGGCTGTTTAATTATTGAAACTCTGAATCCAATTTCTTAGCTACTAGTCACTCTTAGCGTACTCAATAGGAAAATATTTTTATTTTATTTACTGATTTATAAGCCAAATCTTTAGGAAATTTAAACAGAAGCTTTGTTTAATAGTGTACGTTTCTTTCCTCAGACGTATGGGGCTTTATTCTGTGAAACAAGTGCCAAAGATGGTTCAAATGTAGTGGAAGCTGTTCTCCATCTTGCACGGTAAGCTTTTGTCTCTTATTTTGAAAAGTGGGTGTAGGATTGAATTTCCATCGAGTTGGTGCGCATGCATATCAGACTTCACCACAACATGACTATGCATTGGCAAGGACTGTCTCGCCTTTCAGCAGTGGTTAGGGAAACAAACACAGATTTTATAAAAACTGGTAATGCTGTATGTTCCCTGTGATCGTTGGCAAAATACCTTCACTGCCAAGCAGAGTGGGTGCATCTGAGGTACCATTGACATTTCTGCAGAATGTCACCACAAAGCTAACAGTTGACTTGTATGAATCATTTCCAGGAACCAGACTTTGAACACAAGAGACTATTATGAATGTAACTCGTATGACATTTTCCAGTTAAAGAAAAGAAAGCCTCAGTAAAGCAAATTGTGTATCATGCCAGTTGGAAGCACTTGATTAAATTTATCACACAGGTAATTTATTCAGCTAAGACACCGTGTTGTTAATAATAAATCACATTTTGTGATGTATATTAGAATAAAATATTGCATTCTTGAGGAACTTGGGTATAAATGTGAGTTTTAATCCTTAGAGTACTCTTGGGAAATAACAGCACTGTCTGTTATAATTATTTCTTCTGCCTAGTTTTCTGCCACAAATTACAAGATGATTCTTTACTGGTCTAAAGGAATTGAATATACAAGAAAAACAACAAAATATGTGCCAAAAAAATACAGGCCAATGATCTTTAATGGCTTACAAAGTAAAAATGTAATTTAAGTTTATAGAGCTTTTCCTGATCACTTGTGAGGTTTTCAAGAATCTTAACTTTAGTATGATAATTGGCCTCTTCCGCTAGTATACATTGACAGTGACAATATTTTGCATTGTTTTAAATTCTGATTTTCTATTAACGACTTGATGTTTATAGTGCTCCCTAGATTAGAATCCCTTGAATAGAAGGCTTGGATGGGACCCTGAGAGAACCAGGAAACAGGCCCTGGGACCTTCCATGCTTGCTTAGAATGAGTTTGTGTCAGGGCTTAGAATGCGCCTTGAGCTTGAACTCCGAGTCTATGAACATTATCTCCTTTGACATCAGTCCAAGAGAGAGATCACCTGCTCCCACCACACTGGAAATCTGGAAATCTTTTTTGTTTAAAGCAGAAACAGCAATAACTTTGATTGTGACCTAGAACAGGTAGAAAAGGGGCAAACAAACATTTAAATGTATACATTCAAGTGAATTACATGGTTTTTGCTTCTGATTAGTAGGAGAATCATGGCTAATATCACATTTGTCAAGAGCTAAAAGAAAACCTTCATAAATTAGGTGAAATAATGGATCTCACGCACCTTTGGGTGCACAGCCATTTTGGTCAAATAGGATACATTTAGTAAATGTCGAGGGGGATATTCAATGATATGAACTAAAGATGGAATAATTGCTGAGCTGGTAGGTGTTTTCCTTTTTTTTTTGGATGGTTCTGTTGTGTTTCATTAAAATGTACGTGAGAATTCCTGGATGGAGATGATGTGCCCATTGAGGCAGGTGGTGTTCAGAGAGGGTCTTCAGAGCGTGGCTGGGCACTGGGCTGGCCAGGCGCTGCGTGCTGCCTGCGCCTCGGGCAGAGTGGGGCTGAGTGGCTTCTGTGTCTGAGCAGGAGTGGATGCTGCTGAGCAGGCTCTCTGTGTGGCTGCTGGCTGTTGGCTGCTGCCCAGCGTGTTACAGGATTGTGGTGTCAGAGGCTCGAAGTCCAGCCTTAAATCTGCCCTTGAATAGCTGTGAGGTCCTGAGCGAGTCCCCGTCTTCCTGTAGACATCTCTAATCTGTAAAATGAGGGAGGGAGCTGAAGAGAATAATCTCTCAGGCCCTTTCTGGTTTTGACAGTCTGTAATTCTATATACAGTAGCCTGTAATCCTCTGAGTAATACAATCGCTGTGTAATGCTGCTTTGTCCAGTAGGGTCATATTAAAGTTAAATGACTCCAAATTGCTGTGGTCACACCCAGAGTGCAGAATCGTTTATTTTATTATATCATAAAGATGGGAGAGGCTGTAAGCCGTCTGTCTGAATTTGCTCCCGCAGCTCTGTTTATGGTGTAGCTCCCACTGCGGGTTGGGTTTACTTAAAAGCACCTGTGCCCATAGGCATCTTGGTAACGGGGGCACTTCCTGTGAATTCCTTATCCAGGAGTTTATTCTGTTGTTGCTATTGCATTATAGCCTGGTTTGAGGCCTGTAGGTCAGCAATTAGTGTTAAACCTGAAAATTATACAGAAGGCAAGTATGTAAAGGCTTTCATTTGCTTTATACTCTGCCCTCAGATTTGCTTGTCAACATACCTAAGTCTTAAATAGAAATGGTATAGACTCCACAGGCTAAATGAATATTTAAAAAGGTTTTCACTCCTCAGAATATTATTTAGAGTGCAAAACATGGAAGCTCTTGATTTAGAGCTCACAAGACAACCCCTGACACAGTCCCTTGCATGCCAGGTCATGGGTTTGCTAGGTGAACAAGGTGGGTTTATGGATTTGCACTGTCTGAAGGATTCGTTTCAAAGGGAGGCCAAGAATGTTTGGTTGACAACATGAACTACTCTGCCTTTTCTCAGAAAACCTCTCAATCCCAGGAAAAGTTTCTCTTAGAAATGCAATTTTGCAATTTCCCTGTAGTCCTGGTAGGACAGCCACGTGGCCATTGTCCTGTGGTAAGTAAATTTGCCATTAACAGCACTGAGGCTTTCAACTCTTTTCAATCTGTTCAGATGCCATAGGCATTTAATTGACCAATGGCCTGAAATTTGAAAATGATACAAGAAGCTCAGGCTGATGTATCAGTTCAGCACAATTGCTGATCCCTTTGGGTATAAATGTGTTTCCAAGATTGAGCCATTTAAAATGTGGTTGTTAAGCATATGGTAGTTTTGGGCGAAGTAATTTAATTTCCCCAGCCTTAAACCTGTTTTAGATGTTTTGGAATCATCATCTTTCTACTTTCCTGGAAGTGAGACATTTCTTTATTTTTGGTGAGTTAAAGAAACTGAAGGCCAGATGAGCAGTGTGGGCACCTCCTTCTCTCCCTTCCTGTTTGCTTCAAGTTTGATAACGTCTGTGCTGTTACAAGCACTCAGCCTGTGAAGGCCTGTACATGGTTCCACAGAGGTGTCAAGGGAAAGACAGGCTGTTATTTTTATAGATGTCATGATGAGTTGATAATATTTGTGTCCTACCGAGTGACGCAAAATACATCACAAACTTAATTTCACCTGCTTCTCCTTACATTTTTTAGGGTGGCTACTAAAAATTTTAAATGACATACGTGGATTGCATTATATTTCTACGGGACAGCATTGCTTTGCTGCGCATTAGCGATTCCCAGCATCTACCGCTCAGTAATAAACCACCCAAAACTTAGTCGCCTAACACCGCAAGCACTTTTATTTTTAGAAATTACTGGAATTGGTGGGATCTCAGGTGGAAGGTTCCTCAGCTGCCCTCATTCCGGGTGTCTCCTGTGTTTGTAGTCGGATGGCCACGGGGCTGTCTCAGGCCTGATGTCTGCCACCAGGGTGCTCCTCCTGGGTCCTCTCCTCCCCAGAGCCCCTCTGCGGGCCTCACTCCGTTGAGGAACCCTGGACTTCTTAAACGGCAGCTCGAAGCGGCCAGGCCTCGTTACCACCTGGCTTCCAAGTCCCAGCACAGCACTTCCTTGGCATTCCTTGGGTCTGAGCAGTCACAGAGCCGTCCTGACCTCGGGAGAGGGGCAGTGGGGCAGTGCCAGGCACTGACAGGGAGGGGCAGAATTGTTTGGGGCTGTCTTGGGGACTAGCTGTCACCTCACTTCACCCCTGGAGATGGTCTTTGGCTTATCTCAGGTGGAACGTGGGGTGGAACTGCATTTCTCACAAGCTTCCCCAGTGGCTGCCCTAGGGGGCTTTTATAAGATCATGGAGACCTTTTGTCAGTGTGTTCATTCTAAAAGAAACTTAGGAAGACACAAAAAGAAGATTGTTTTTATTGGCTTTTAACCATCCATTGTTGTCTCCATGATGATGTATAATTGAAGAATGGTTTCAAAGTCACCACTGCTTTTGTTATTGTAAGCAAGTATCAGCTGGGGATGTGGGCCAGGATGAGAAGCAGGCTGTGTGTGTGGTGGACTGTAAAGCATGTGAAACCACAGGAGAGAGCAAGAGGGGTCTGTGCACGTGTGCACACATGTGTGTGCTCCTATGCACGTGGGCCTGTGCATGCGTGCATGTGTGTGCATGTGTGCAAACCTGTGGCCTGGTGCTCAGAGGGCAGGCTCTGGAGCCAGCCTGCAGGGTTTGAGTCTCAGCTCTGCCACTTCTCCAGCCATGTGACCTCAGGGAACTCCTCGTATGTAAAATGTAAAACGGGCACCACAAATTCATACGGTTGCTGTGAGGATTAGATAAGTCAACGCCTATATAAAGCATTTGGGACCAAGGTCTGGATGGCACACAGCACGTGCTCAGCAGAGCAGTTTTTATCTCTGCAGAGCCACTGTGGTATAGTCTTGTCCCCTCGCTGTCTCTTCCTCCACTTTGACCTCTGCTTCTACCGCTCTCTCCAGGGAAGTGAAGAAAAGAACTGATGAGGACGACAGCAAATCCGTCGCCAACCTGACTGGAAGCGGTTTCAAACAGTCAACCCATACGAAGAATTGTTGCAAGGGGTGAGCCCGAACCCCGTGGCCTACGCAGTCTTCATTTCCGGAGCCCAGAAGCTGTGGGACTCGTGCGTGGCCTGCGGACACTGTCATGCGGAGAGTTGCGGTGTGGGAGTCTGAACTGTGTTCTCGGTCCCTCCGGAACCTCAGCTCTTCTTTTGCTACGTTTCCATGAACAGTTCGGGCTCCCTGGTTAAATATACTTGTCTTGTCCTACCAGAGACTTAAAGATAACATATAAATGTGTGTAAGTGCTAAAAAATCACATGCTCAGATCAAAGCTGTAGAAAGAACTCTCGGACTTAATTAGATTCATGTGGTAGCTGATACAACCTGTGACCACATGTCCTACAAATAGTCAGCACTAGAGTACTAGTAAACAAGGGTTATCATGCTAGCTTTGCTGTTAACTAGGCTAGTGGCCTCAGACACATCCTTGTTGGCCTTGGCCTTGGGTCTCTCTCACATCCTGTAGCATTTTTTTGGCAGTGGGAGGGAGAGTACAATAGCTCACAATTAGTAAGGACTCGGATTGTTTGTACTTTTAAAATATTGCAGTATTGACTCTTCTCACTTCTGAAACAAGAACAGATTTTAATTGAGAAAAATGATAATTTTTCAGGCTTCGGTGGAGACAGAAAAATTTATTTTTCTATGCATGGAGAAGAAAACATTTTTGTGACAATAATAGTTCTGTATCAAAGAAGGTATTTTATAAGCTCAAAATACAAAGTCTGTGGCTTAAATTCAATGTTAAAAATTTTAATACAAATATATAAAGCCACATACTATTGAAAGGACAAAGCGTAGGAACGTCGTCACTCTTCACTTAAAAAAAATCACCTTTGAGTGGCTGCCAGGGACTTGGCAAAGGGAGGAGCCGAGGGTGAGTGGCTGCTGCTGGGTCTGGGACAGCCTTTGGGGGCGATGAGAATGTCCTGGGGTTACACTGGGCAGTTGGTGGTTGCACAAGTTTGTGAGTACACTAAAAGCCACTGAACTGTATACTTTAAAGGGATGAATTTTACAATATGTGAATTATATCTCATTAAAAAATACATTAGTCTTTAGAACTATTTAACATTTTTGCCAAGTGAGAATATGTATGCATACTTATTTCAAACCTTCCCAGGGTTTAAAAGCCTAATCTCCAATATAATGCAAGTCCCTTTACCGCCTACCTGCCAGCATTCGCTTCCTTAAGTAATGAACAATAAAAGAAGTTATGCATGGTGTTTGGACATATCATCTCTTTAACAAAAGAGGTCTGGTTAGGAAAGGAATCAGAGTCCTTCGATTAATGTGACTAGTGACTCATCCTCACCAAGGACCTGGCAGGTCTTGCTCTCCTTCTAGAACCTGCAGTAGCTCCCACACTTCCCCACTGAAGTGCCTCTAAGAACCAAAGGGGTCAATATCTGACCCTGGGGTAGGTCAGCAATGCTGGGGTTTTGGTTTTTGGTTTTCAGTGGCCTGAACCAGTTAAAGTCATTCCCAACCAGCGATCTGAACCTACTTGGTTCATATAGGTCAAGGCCCCAAGTAGTTGGCTGAAAAAAACTGAAATAATGGGTTTTTACATATAAGCTAATCACATTCTTTTTTATTGAATAAAACAGTTTGTTGTAGGAATTCTTCTCCTGTTTATGATTTTTAGGATCAAACCACACTTCATTTTTATTTTAATGGAAGCTGACAAGGTATGTCACTGATTGTAAGTAACCACACAGCATCATTGGCTTTGGAAGCTTTCTTCCTCTCTATTGACGACATCTAGGTTTTTTTTCCTGGAAAGTTGGGTCTGTCCATCACAACTCCACATGCGTTCTTGTTCCTCCTTCACGGTTTTTGGTAGTTAAAAGCTATAAGAAAACATTATGTTTTTGACCCAAAACAATGCCTTGTTTGTGGGGAACTGTCATGCTGAGCGGCGGAGGGAGTGGTAGTTACTTTGCGGATGTGTGCGATGGAAGTTCTGCTTCTGCCGCCTGCCTAGGTGACATATGTGGAGCCAGGTTCGAAGGGACCTGATGAGTGTGTCACAGGGGACTCACGTTCAGGTGTCTGGTGGAGGTGCACAAAGCTGTGCGTATGTGCTGTCATGTCGCCTTTCTTTCCCCCCGAAGTGTCTCTCTGTTTTTACCATCTGTACCTGTGAGCATGCCTTTGATGCAAAAGTATTACCTGGGCCAGCACATCCACAGTGTTTAGAGTACGCAGGTACCTTTGATAGACAAAGCAGTCATCTTTAACTGCTCGAACACAGATAAATATTTTGGCAACAAAATCCAAATTAGACGTATATAGCTCTGGGTAGCAATCTTGTTTACAGAAAAGCTACTTACAGCTCTTTCAGCTGCATTGCTAGCAAATTGTGATTATTACCAGCACTTGATTTCATGAAGGTGTTCTCAAATTGAAAGCATATTTTCATTAAGAACAAAAATACAGTCATGCACTGCTGAAGGACTGGGGTACATTCTGAGAAGTGCTTTGTCAGGCAGTTTTGTTGTGCAAACATCACAGAGTGCACTTCCACGAACCGCGGGGGTGTAGCCAGCCTACCACACACTCAGGCCACATGGTATAGCCTGTTGTTCAAGACTACAAACCTGTATGGCGTGCTACTGTACTGAGTGCTATAGGCAGTTGTAACTCAGTGGTAAATATTTGTGCATCTAAACAGAAAAGGTACAGCAGAAATACAGCGTACAAGATAAAGGGTGTGTGCCTTTGTGCAGGAGTTTGGAGACCGGATTGGGGAGGTCTGTGGAGGGAGGTGCTGTCAGAGGGAGAATAGACGTCAGAAGGAAGGAGGGAAGAAGGCAGAGAGGGAAGAAAGACAAAGGCAGAGGAAGGAAAAGTGGAGATGGAAAGAGGCCTGCGGAGATAAAGCTGGAGAGGAGACACAATAAAAGGGAGGGGTGAGGGCTGGGGGGCCTAGACTGGGAGGGAGGAGAGAGACAGGAGGGAAGCTGAGTTTGCGCACAGAATCCTGTGTCTGTGTGTGTGTGTGTGTGTGGGGGAAGGGGGTGGGGTGGGCATCGGGCTCAGCCTCCCCGTCTATTTAAATCCCTCGGAGCATTGAGTTCAACATCTAAGTCGGTCCAGCCTTTTCTTTCAACATTGTGAACAAACTTTTTGCTTGTGATCCATTCTAATCTTACAGGACCACCGTTGAATTTTTGGTCTGTTCTCGTGTGGCACAAGACTGTATTTCAGGGTTTTAACTTAGATTAATTTGATACCTTTGCATAGTTCTATGTGAGTAACTCGTCTCGTCTGAATTTTGCCTTTGAGAGCTTTTAAAATCACAATTATGCTATGCTCCTTTTTTATGTATCCTGACACATTGGATAATATTTTAATTTCATTATAGAAAAGAATGTTGGATAAGTAGATGTTTTTTACCGTTAACTTTTAGCCTCATGCGTTTTCGTAATTTATTTTTTCCACTTGCTGCTTTGTATGGCATACGTGACATTGATTATTTAATACAAAATGTGATTTGCATAAACTCAACTCACACAGCTATCTTGCTGAAGATAAAATTCAAGTTAAAGATAAAGATTTATTTTCATATTTGTACCGAGATCAGTTTCAGAGTGATCATTTTTGGGGGGGTTATTGTATATACGTGTTAGAAATTTCATATATATGTATACGAAGTAGGCCTCTGAGTATAAAATAATTGTTTTATGATTTTGATTTATATGGTTTATATTTTCATAGTATCAACCACATTTCATTTATACTGTTTCTTTCTTTTCAAACCATTAATAATTATACCATAAAGTATAATTTTTATAGCCATGCTAATGTTCAGGGAACTACAAATATTTTCTGCATTGTATATTAAGTGAAGCAGGCTTCCTTTGCCCTTTGGGTATTTTCTTCAACTGTGCTGCAGGCATCCCTGAAGTGATTTTCTTTTTTAAAGGTTGTATTTGTTTATTTTTAGAGAGAGAGAAAGAGGAGAGAAACATCGATGTGTGGCTGCCTCTTGTGCGCCCCCTACAGGGAATCTGGCCCACAACTCAGGCATGTGCCCTGACTGGGAATTGAGCTTCCCAGTCCAGCACTCAATCCACTGAGCCACACCAGCTCAGGGGGCCAGGGCCCCCTGAAGTGATTTTAATTCTAGGAGGTGCATAGGTGAAACCGGGCCTCTAAAGCACTCGGCTTGTGGCCTGGACAGATGGCTGGTGGGAGGCAAAAATATACACATTGTGGCTGGTGCTATGGCACAGCCAGTCATCTTGGCCGGTGTGGCAGCAGGTCCGGGAGTTTGCAGGGTGACGGCCAGGAGTAGTGAGGCTGTGGCAGAAAAATGTCAGGGTGTGCTCTGGCCATCCCCGTGACCTCAGGGGTGGATTTCTTTCTCTGACTCCCATCTTTCTCCCTCCGCACCCCCTACATGTCGCCATCTCAACATTATTAATCATATCTGCCAACTCCCTTTGCCATTAAGGTAACACATTTCAGATTCTGTGAATCAGTACTTGGGCAGGTCATTACTCTGTGCACTGCAACATCCACAGTAATTTTGTCCCATTACCTTTGCCTTTTCTTGATTTCCAGGCTATTAGATGATCTAAATTTTAAAAAGGAACAAAGCTTTACTCTTTACTAGTTCATTTTTTAACCTTTTAAATTTGAAATCCTAAATAAGTATACAACCAAAATTTTCACACTGTTTTGGTCTACATGAAGTATACTGATGAATTTTAAAATTTCCTAAATGCTCTTTAAGAACCAGAAATAGGCATTTATTATTTCAAACGTTAAGTTTAACTAAATGACCACACCTGACATAGAGTTGACCAACTAACCATTTATACAGCACTGATTAGGGGCAGTGCTTGCTGAAAGGCTGGGCAGAAAGAATCAAAAGCATGCTTCCTGGTCCTGAAGAATGTATCGTTCAGTTGACAGGATCACAAAAGAAGTCATCTCCTCAGCAACTGGAGGAAATGGAGCCACCGATAAATTCCAGCTGAGTGGCAATGGAAAGAATGTGCATTCTCACGGGTCTCTCTCCCAGTTACTGGATTAAAGTGTACCCCGTGCCTCTTATCTCTCGGAGGCCGTGCAAGTGGTTGTAAACAGATATGGTCCTTTGAGCTGTTTATAACTCACGAGATTATAGACTCGATGGGACTTCAGTGGGAGCACTGAGCAAGCACACAGATGAATTGCTAAACATATACATGGGCATGTTCAGCTGACCTTGTGCAGATAGTCTACCATAACGGGTGCTAGATGTCCACCACAGAGCACCGTGGAGCGTCAGCCGGATGTGCGGTCAGCTCAGATTCAGGTAAGGCACAGAGAGGATATACATTTCTTACTGTGGACAGGAAGGTGAGTATTTCCTAAATGTTTACTGTGCCCTTCAAGCTTCCTACAGATCTTCTTATGTTATTCTGGTAATAACATTTCTGTTTTAACCGGTGAGGAAACAGGCTTAACTCTGCTTAAGCTTAACTCTATTTAACAGGCTTAAATAGCAGAGCTGGGATTCAAACTGAGGTCTCTTTGAATCTTTCCACTATATATATAGCACCCTGCCTCAGACAATGTATATCTTAAAGATTGCCCACATTTATTGAGTCTAAGTGTTTTTGGAGAAGAAAATACCTTAGGACTTAATGATTATAATGAGTACCTAAAAAAATCATAGGAAAATGTATTTTGTTTCTGTTGTCTTGACTCACTGAGCTGACTTGCCTGGAAGAGGGATAACATGGTAATGTGGCTGTTGTTCTGATTCACATTCAAGACGGCCTTCTGATTGGCTTTTTTCCTGTGGTAGCCAGGACTCTCGCATTAGAAGGACTATAGTTTCTGCGGGGTGTGTCCTCCTCATCTTGAATATTGGAAGCTCTCAAATTCTCCTAACAACCGATTCTTGATTTCCCAACTGGTTGGAGGGCAGAAGAAATATTCTTGTCTCCATGGATCTACCCTATTGAGTGGACACCCAGGATAGAATAAATGTTAGAGGGAAGAGGGATTTTAGAGGTCACCCATACTATGCCCTTTCTTAATTGGTGAGGTAACTAGTATTCAGGGACAGTCTGATTGTCTGGTTTTAGACCTGAACCCAGAGCCCAGGTCTCCCGTCTTCAGGCCCACAGTTCAAGACACCACACTTCTTGCTTTGTTGGCCTGGGAACTGAGTGTGGGCTGTCTCCTCCCTCCCTCCTTCTTTTCCTTCCTTCCTTCTTTTCCTTCCTTCCTTCCTTCCTCCTTCCTTCCTTCCTTCCTTCCTTCCTTCCTTCCTTCCTTCCTTCCTTCCTTCCTTCCTTCCTTCCTTCCTTCCTTCCTTCCTTCCTTCCATGAAGTATGTATTTAATCATTCACTCAGTTTTTTTATTAAGTCACTGTTGTGAATTGAACTTTACCCCCATAAAATGTATGTTGAAATCCTCAACTCTTGTACTAGTGAACATGAACTTACTTGAAAATGGGGTATTTGCAGATGTACTCAAATTAAGATGAGGTCATTCTTGACTAGGGTGTATCCTAATTCAATGTGACTGGTGTTCTTATGAGCAGAAAGAGAAGACAGAGAGACACGTGGGGAGAACACTGTGTGACTGCGGAGGCCGAGATTAGCGTGATGTGTCTACAAGCCAAGAACCGCCGGCAACACGGAAGCTCAGAGAGAGGCATAGAACGGATTCTCTCCTTGAGCCTTTAGGGAGAGCATGGCCCTGCCAACACCTTGATTTTGGGTATTTGGTCTCCAGAGCTGTGAGAGTATAAATTCATGCTGTTTTAAGCCACCTGGTTTGTGGTAATCTGTTACAGTTGCCCTAGGGAACTATTACAATCAGCAGACATTTCCAGCATTGCTTAGTGAATGGAGGGAAGGACCAAACAGATGAATATGACACCATGTTTTACCCTCTCAGAACTCACAGTCTAGCAGTTATGGGAAGCTCAGTGGTTTCCCCTGCCCCATCCCACCCACAGGTGTATCTGCTTCCCAGGACAGCAGTCGAGGATGGGTGACATCGACGGTGATGCCTGTGCATTACAGCTTCAATGCAAAGATTGACGCAGGAAACACTATGAGGAGAAGAAATGTTAATAAGTTGTTAGAGTTGGGCAATAACTGAGATTGGCCTCCGAGAACTGAAGGCCAAAATTCGGAAATTGTTAAAAGAATGGTGGTAATATGGAGGGTTCTAGTTTGAGGGTTTTTTTGGGGGAGGGGTGGGTCTTTAGTTAGAAAGAAGAGGCCTGAAGAGATCGTACAGAAGAGGGCAAGAAAGTTCAGTCTGAAAATGCTTCTAGCCAGGACTGCAGGGGGCATGCGGTGTGGTAACCACTGGTTCCTGAGGCCCGCCCTCCCCTCCGCCTCCCGAGCATCGCCCTTTCCCCACTCCCCTTCTGCACACAGCAAATTCCTACAGGATTGCCTGAATTATGTTGTGATCGTGTCCCCAGCTCTCATTTTACATGAAGAGTTCAATTGGAACCCACAGTGGCTCTGCTGTTATCGTGCCAATCAGCTTACCTGGGCTGGCCTTATCCCCTGATGCCTGGTTTAAACCACTTCCTGTGAGGCTTTGGAGAAGACGGAGAGAGAGGAAGATGGAGACAAAAGAGGACAAAGTCAGAGGTGGGTAGAGCAGCAAGGAGCAGGCAGGGTGGGATGAGGAGAAGGTTTGTACCAAACAGTGCTGGTCAAGCCTGGCTCAGCCTGGCGGACGCTTGGGCATAAAGGGCTTGCACCTTGATGGAGCCTGACTTGAATGCTTCCCAATCTAAACTTCGTAAATAACCATGGGCTGCTCCAATTTTAAATCAAGCTGCCTGCTAATGATTATTTCAAGCTTAGCAACCCTTCATTTTGAGAGGCTCGTGTATCTAATAGAAACTGCCAGATAG